GGGCCCGCTGCGGGCGGCCGGCTGGGCGCTGGAGCTGCTGGGCGCCGGCGGCGGCGGCGGCGGCGGCGCGTTCGAGGCGGAGCGCGGCCGCGGCGGCGGGCGCTGCGAGCCCATCGAGATCCCCATGTGCCAGGGCATCGGCTACAACCTGACCCGCATGCCCAACCTGCTGGGCCACGAGCACCAGCGCGAGGCGGCGCTCAAGCTGCACGAGTTCGCGCCGCTGGTGGCCTACGGCTGCCACGGGCACCTGCGCTTCTTCCTGTGCTCGCTCTACGCGCCCATGTGCACCGACCAGGTCTCCAGCAGCATCCCCGCCTGCCGGCCCATGTGCGAGCAGGCGCGCCAGCGCTGCGCCCCCATCATGGAGCACTTCCACTTCGGCTGGCCCGAGGCGCTCGACTGCGCCCGCCTGCCCACGCGCAACGACCCGCACGCCCTGTGCATGGAGGCGCCCGAGAACGCCACCACCGCCGAGCCCCAGAGCGGCGGGCAGGGCATGCTGCCCGTGGCGCCCCAGCCCGCCCGGCCCGCGGGCCCCGGCCCCGGCAGAGAGCCGGCGGGCAGGCCCGGCAGCCCCGCCACGGCCGCCGCCTCGGGCTGCGAGAACCGCGACAAGTTCCAGTACGTGAGCAAGAGCCTGTCGTGCGCGCCCCGCTGCTCCCCCGGGGTCGACGTCTTCTGGTCCCGGCGCGACAAGGACTTCGCCTTCATCTGGATGGCCGTGTGGGCCTCGCTCTGCTTCATCTCCACCGCCTTCACGGTGCTGACCTTCCTGCTGGAGCCGCAGCGCTTCCAGTACCCGGAGCGGCCCATCATCTTCCTCTCCATGTGCTACAACGTCTACTCGGTGGCCTTCCTCATCCGCTCGGTGGCGGGCGCCGAGAACATCGCCTGTGACCGGGAGAACGGCGAGCTCTTCGTCATCCAGGAGGGCCTGGAGAGCACCGGCTGCACCCTCGTCTTCCTCATCCTCTACTACTTCGGCATGGCCAGCTCCCTGTGGTGGGTTGTCCTGACGCTGACCTGGTTCCTCGCAGCGGGGAAGAAGTGGGGCCATGAAGCCATCGAGGCCCACAGCAGCTACTTCCACCTGGCTGCCTGGGGCGTCCCGGCCATGAAGACCATCATCATCCTCACCCTGAGGAAGGTCGCAGGGGACGAGCTGACAGGGCTGTGCTATGTGGGCAGCATGGACGGGGCCGCCCTGACGGGCTTCATCCTGGTCCCGCTGTCATGCTACCTGGTCGTCGGCACGTCCTTCATCCTGACGGGCTTCGTGGCGCTTTTCCACATCCGCAAGGTCATGAAGACCGGCGGCACCAACACCGAGAAGCTGGAGAAGCTCATGGTGCGGATTGGCGTCTTCTCCATCCTCTACACTGTCCCGGCCACCTGTGTCATCATCTGTTACTTCTACGAGCGGCTGAATGTGGATTACTGGAGCCTGCGGGCTGCGGAGCAGGGCTGCCTGGCCTTCCCGGGCCGCCGCCGCAGCCTCGACTGCTCCCTGGATGCCTCGGTGCCCACCGTGGCCATCTTCATGCTGAAGATCTTCATGTCGCTGGTGGTGGGCATCACCAGCGGGGTGTGGGTGTGGAGCTCCAAGACCCTGCAGACCTGGCAGGGGCTGTGCAGCAGGAAGTCGGGGCTGAGGACTAGGGGGAAGCCCTGCAGTGGGGTGACCTGTGTTGGCGCTCACTGCCACTACAAGGCCCCCACCGTGATGCTGCACATGAGCAAGGCGGACCCCTACCTGGACAACCCAACTCACGTCTGACACAGGGCAGGAACCCGGCAGAGGAGTCCTTCTGCAGCGGCGGCCAGAAACAGATGTGGGGGGGGGGTTGGGCAACGTGAGGGAAGGGAGAGGCGGTAATCCGGGGCTCTGGGGGCAACTTTATCAGGCCTGCGTCCGAGGATCCCGAAGAGAGCAGGGAGCAGAGCAGCCCGCACCAGATGCAGCTCCTTTTTCTGGCATGGTGGATTGGATGTCTCTGTTGCCAAAATCCAGTAACTATTTTAACATTTTTCTTTTGGAGGAGAGAGGGAGGGGATTTGTCCCAAGTTTATTTAATTCTGTAATTTATTTTTTTAAAGCAAAATCATTAGTTGGAAGAAATGGAAGAAGTGGGGAAAGACCCAATAAACCTAAGCTGTGTTATTTCTACTGAAGTCAGTACTGTTTGCAGGAATTCAAGAGGCTTTGGAAACAGCTGTTCCAAAAGGGAGGGGAGGGGAGGGGAGGGGTGGGGGAGGGCTGGCATAGCCATGTTAGTCTGGAGCTCTGTGAAGAAGAGGCAGCCCAGGTCAGTGGAGGGGTGGGGGAAGCGGTCCTTGCTGCTCCCGCGCAGGGAGGGCCCCTCCTCGGCCTCGTGGAAGGCTGCTTGCTGTCCCACCGTGGTGGGAAGATTGAGCTTGAACAAGGCCGGGAAGTTCCCAAAATACTTTCAGCCCGGCTGCAGAGTGACAGACCTGGAGCTGGCCGAGCCAAGGCCGTCCCAGCCGCCCCCACTGCCCCGTCAGCGCACTGACCAGACTCGGACCGCCTGCCAACCCTGCGCGTCCCGCTCTGCCGCCCGCCCTTGCCTGTGCCGAAGGCCCTGGCCAGCCAGGGCTGCTCTTCCGCTCGGCAGGCAGGCAGGCAGGCAGGCAGGCAGGCAGGCGCCCGCCAGGCACCTTGGGACGCTCGGGCCAGCGATGTCCAGAGGGCCCCGTCTCGGGAAGCCTCTCAGCCAGCTTCCGCGGGGGCTCCAGCGGAGATGCCGGCCAGCCGGCAGTGGCCACGCGTGCCTCGCACCAAGGTTGTCTCCCGGTCCTGCCTGGAGGTGCTGCCAGGGCTCTGCCTGGGGGGGGGTGGGGGGGGACTGGGCTCCACTATGCTGCCCTTTCCTCCGGATTAGCAGGACTGACTTGAGGGGCCACAGGAGCTGGGCGTGTCGGAGCGGATCATGGTGAGGAAATGGTCCTTGGCTTCCCTTCAGTGCTGGAGGCGGCAGGCTGGGGAATGTGGTGGGAGGGTGCGGCACAGCCCTCCTCTCTTTCTGGGGACCCCCAGAGCAGGGCTTGGCCACGGAGACTGGAGGCCTGGCCTGGGCCCAGCACAGCCCCCCGTGTCCTTGCTGCCGGATCCCTTCGCGCTGTGGCGAAGTGCCAAGGGGGTCGCCTTGGCCCCTCACACGGGTGTCCCAGCAGGCATTGGCTACGGGTCCAGGGACTGAGGTTGGTGATCTTGTGAGGGTGCCTGCTGCCCCCACCCCGCGGTTCATGCAGGGGGCCCAAGCTCCTTGCAGACCCCCCCCCTCCTGCGAGGCCTTGGCAAGGGGCTGGCGGGCAGCCAGCCGCAGAGAGCAAACGCGGGGGGGGGGTGCTGCAGGGACCCTTTGCCGGGAGAGCAGTGGGCCCGTCTGTGGGGCAGGTGGGCGGGCGGGCAGGCGGCCTCCCTCCTGGGGGGCAGCTGCTCATCTCCTCTGGCTCTCCCTCCCCCACCCCAGGCCTGCCTGCAGCCAGGGGGTCTGGCAATGAATGATCCTGCCCCTCTGGCCCTCCCTCGTCGGGGGCACAGTGTGCCGAAGTCTCCCCTGATGCCGAGAGCCCCGACAGTGGGGCACGCAGCTTGCGTCCATCCCGCATCCAGCCAGCCTCCCGGAGGCCCTGCATCACAGGGCTCTGGTTCTCAAGGCTCCGCAAGACCCTGCTGCCCTTGCCGTGCCCGAGGGGAATGTGTTGGGGGGGCAGGCGCTTGCCGGCCCTTTGCAGCAGCCTTTGGCTGCACACGCCGGGGAGGCTCTGGCAGGCAGCACCAGGGACGAGGAGGGGAGTGTCTGGCTCAGGCGGTGGCGGTGGCGGCAGCTTGTGGGCACAGAGCTGGACTTGGGCAGCAGGCGCCCTCCCGGCTTGCAGCTTCGAGCTCATTACTGATCCGCGTTCAGAATGGTTGCAGGAACTAGCTGGATCCTGCCTTCCATCCCTGCACCTCCCCCCCCCCCGCCTCCGTCTTTTGGAAACTGGCCTTATGCTCCCCGAGGTGGCCAGGAATTTAATTCTCCCCCCCACCACCCCCACAAAAGGCAACAGGCCTGGATCAGGGGATTCAAGGGAGGGAAGTTCACTGCAGAGCTAGAATACACACGGGAGAAGGGAACTGGAGTGACTCCCTCCTGGTTGCAACGTTTGCACCTAATTAGCTTAGCAAAACGGCAATGGAGGGAGCTCTGATAGAGGCATAAATCAAAACTGAGTTTTCCTCCTTCCCCCACAAAAGTGGAAGTCGGCCGTCCCCAGGGAACTCGATTCCGGGCAGACTACAATGACCCTGTCCCCCAACTTGTACTAAGTCTTGAGGTCAGAGGGATTCATTTCCAAAGGTTAGGCAACTTCATGGTGGAAAGGAGGATCAGCAGTTGCCACTAGTCAAAATTGAGCCTCCATGCTCAGGGGGTATCTATCCCTGAATGCCCTGTTGCTGGCAAATGCCCACGGGTAGCTCCCGCTCTCACCAGCAGCTTCCCAGAGTATTGGAAGCAAAACACCGAAGCCGATGGCCCACAGCTCTGGCCTGCCCCCTTCCTGGCTTGCCGGGGTGGCGCCTGCTGCCATCCCTTTTGGAGGCCTGGCAGAGCACGCCAGGGCTGACCACGGACAACGCCTTGGCTCTAGGGGGAGCCTCCATGCCAGCCAGTGCAGCGCACCTGAGCCACCTCCCCAGTCCCGTCTCCCGCCAGCGGTGCCTCTTTCTGCTCCTGCTGTGGGCATGTGCCCAGTCACTGGCACTTAAGGCGACCTTGCAGGGCAAAGCATGGGCAGGCAGCCCCTTCTGCTGCCAGCAGCAAAAATCCGAGAGATGCCTCCATTGGCACATGGGCATCCCTTGAGCTCCCTTGGCACCTACAAGGCAGGTGGCGACTGCCGGGCCGGCAGCAGCGCCTTTGATGGCGCACCGGGGCAGCCACTGCTTCGGCTTCCCACTGCCGTCCCTCCGCTGCTCTGCTTAGCTAACCCAGTGCACCGGGCGTCTTCTGCCATTGCCTCGCCAAGACCACGCACAGTGCGCGCGAGAGGCCAAGCGCAAGCACTCGGAGACATGCGCCTCCGCGGCAGGGAGCTCCCAGGGGGACAGCTGCGGAGGGGCCCGGCCTCCCAGGCAGGAGTGCCCGGATCGTCAGCCTCTGCTGGACTCGGCGTCTCTGAAGGGAGGTGCACAGGGTGTCAGGCCACGCAGGAGCCACCGAAAATGGGCAGACCAGGGCGCCGGCCAATGCGCCTCCCTCCCCACACCCATCCCCAGGGGAAGTGAAGCAATTCAGTGCGGACTAGGGTGAAAGGGCAGCTCCACTTCGCATGGCAACAGGCTCAGCTTGGGATCAGCCCCTTTTGCATGCTGGAACTGTTCTGGGCGGTGTCACGCAGTCAGAGAAGCTTGTCCAAAGTGCCTTTTTCTCAAACCTGACTGCACCAGGAGTCTTTGGAAAATGAATGTTGCCAGCATATTCTTCCATTATTGAAGGTGGTTGTATTTCACCTTTCTTTAAACCTTCTCACCCTTCCATCTGTTTGCTGGAGCAGTCTGAGCAAACAAGCTTTCTCCAGGTCATTTCCGGCACTCCGCCCCCTGCAGCAAAACAAATGGACCCGCACGCAGCACTTCGCCCCCTCCTTTCCCCCTAGTTTCCCCTGCCCCAAGCGAGACACTGTGTGTGTGTCTTCTAGATGGCTCCCGATGCAAAACAGCTCCCTCCTTTGAAGGGCACGAGGGTCCAAGACCTTCTCTGCCCAACCTGGCAGGCTCTTCACCTGCCATTCCCCTTGGCAACCAGTTTTAATGGCTGGTCCTCGGGAGGTGCCCCCATCACCCACGAAGAAGCTGGTCTCAGTGGAGGAAGAGAGTGCGAGTGCGAAGTCCGGGACACGGAAGCAGCTGCCCTCGTGCAGAGCCCGCACCGAGCCTCTCCTCCAGTGTAGGGCCTGTTAGCAGGCCACTGATGCGGGCACCTTCACTGGCAGAGACGGGGGGCCTGAAAGGCACCTCTGCGGATTCGGGGCGCTGTCCTCAGCCACCTTGCCGTCATCAGATTTTCACATCAGTTCCTCCACTGAGCTACTTCAAGTAAGCCTGCCATACTCAGGTGCCTGATTAGAGGGAAAGTACCAGATCTCAGCTTTCTGAGCGAAGACACTTCGTTAAGCGTAAATTGCTAGACGGCTCCAGATCCAAGACCCATACGATGGAAGTGGCATGCCCCAAAACTGCCACCGAGACAAAAGGCAGAACCAGCAGTTTTGCCCTTCCTGGACATAGGGAAGGTCTTCCAACTGTGCTGGGTGAAGTTACACCTGCTCAGCCCAGCCCAGCCCAGCCCAGCGCTCTCAGGTGTATTGGACGACACCTGTGTTCACTGCCCAAGAACAAGCCCACCCAAATGTTTCCAGCTGCCCTTGATCGGAGGCTCCAGGCAAATGTTGGCAGCGAGTCGTGCGACAAAGCATCTGGCTATTTTCCCAAGGGAGACTGCACGTTGACAGCAGGGGGGCATTGACGGCTTCCTCCCCCCACCCCCAGCTCTGCCATTGTGCTTGGGGACCTTGCTTTGAGGGAGGAGGAGAGGAGTGATCCCGGGGCCGCACGCTGCAGGAAAGAGTGGGATTGGTGCGCACCTGGAGCAAGAATGTCGGCCATGGAGCCTAGAAGGAAAGTTGGGCTGCCCAGGTATGAACTACAAGCCTTATGCACACTCGTATTTTCCGGATCACTAGTGAAACGTGTGAAAGCTGGACAGAGGGAAGCATCCTGGAAAGGGAGAAAACGGATGGTGTTTAAGACATGCCAGAGGAGAGCTCTGTCATTACTGACGTGAAGGAGGGCGAACTGGAGAAGGGCTGCCGGTGTGCACAGGGGGAGCAGAGCACATGCATCCTGCAGCCTCATTCTCTGGGCCAGCTCGGTTCGCGGGGCTCCTTGCGGGCGGGCAGGACAGCCCGACATGTGGAAGGGGCCCCCATGCTTCAGGGCAAGTCTCCACAACCAGCGGAAGCCGGGCAGTGGCAGACGACTTCTCTAGGGTGCCTTCCGGCGCCCTCTGCGTGGTAGTGGCACACACCGTGCAGAAGCCCTTGGCTTGTGCTGCCCCCTGTTGGCTGCTCCTGGGCATTATGGAACAGAGCACGGGAGGCTCAGAAGATGGCAGCTGCAGCCCAAGGCAGGCACTTCCCACCCCTGGCATCTGGCCGATCATCTGGCAAGCGATCTCCTCAGCTCTGCTGGGGTTGGAGTTTCAGCCCAGCTCTCCAGTGACAGCATGTCAGGATGGCTGTTGCACAGCCGGCAAGCAGTGGGGAGAGAACCTCGGGGGCACGGAAACGCCAGCCTCCGCGACACCAAGGCCTCCCTTGCTCAGCAACCCCCCTCTGCCAGAATTTGGCGTGCTGCCAGGAGCTGGCGTGTCCCAGCACCGCTCCTGCAGCGCTCCAACCGGCACCTCACCTTGTTATACGTAAACCAGAAAAAGGCCAGAATCTACAGGCAGGCAGAAAATGTGGTGGTTTTTGTTTGTATTTCCAATTTATTACAAGTAAAGCCCTTAGCAGAATACCCCTCCCTCAGACAACAAAATTTAAAAAAGTTCCCCTTTTTGTTGTGTAGAGGCTGCCAAGAAAGAAAGAAAGAAAGAAAGAAAGAAAGAAAGAAAGAAAGAAAGAAAGAAACCTCGACAAAGGAAATGCTGGAGAATGAGAAGGTGGACAATTTTTTGGCCTCAGTGCTACAGCCAGCCAGTTAACATGGCCTAAAGGGGAACTGGAGACCTGGAGATATTTGGGCAGAAACGACCCGGGGAAGTTAATTCCCGCAAAGAAGAAATGATTCGCACGGCCATCTCACTTGCTGCACTACCCGCCGAAGTGGCACGAGAACCCTTGCCTTGTTCATTATCTGGCATCCTTATGTCCCAAACCAATGAAAAACGCTCCTCAAAATGCAGGAAGGGCAACGATAAAAGGAAACCACACAGAGCCGCACGAGGCGGGCCAGGCTGCCACAGGGCTCGCCCCATCCCTGTGCGGGGCCAGAGCCGCCTCCGACCTGATCCGGAATCCAACACGAGGAGGGGAGTGGGGCCGGTGGAGAGGGCGTGATTATAAAAGGTGCCAAGAGCAAGTCTACAAAGTGTGCAACCCTGATGGATTTCCCTGGGTTAACTCCAACTACTTTATCTAAGAAAAAACAAGTGGTTTATAGAGGGGCAGGGAAGATATAAAGCAAACACATCCTCATATAAACTGTACAGTACATGGTCAAAGCCAAGACGGCTGTATCTTACAAAGCATTCTTTGTACAGGGGTCACTGCTGGAAATGAGAATCTTTCCCGAACTAGAAAAAGGGGATTACAAAGTCAGAGAAGCCACGCTCCTCATCCCGAGCACAGCTGCAGGATCCACCGCACGCTATTTCCCACAGGGGGAAGGAGCAAGCCCCCCGCCACTCCAAAATGAAGAGGCTGGAGGGGGAGGGAACCCCGTCGCCCAAACTGGTCTGCAGAGATGCTGGTGAACAGTGATTGCCCCAGGGAAGCAAGTGCTGGCCCACGCCACGAGTGGCCCCTAGATACAAACATCCTTCCGTGGCCCACAGGCTCTCGTCCTTCGCCAAGAGGACAATGGAGAAGGGGAAGGCAGCAGCCCTCCAGCCCGGCCCACTCGCTCAGCCCTGCCACCCGTGGTCCGTGCACTGCTAAGGAGCCACTGCTCCACCTGTCTGCTTCCAAGTGGAACGCGCACTCTTTGAGAAGCTGCTGAGCGTTAAACTAGAGCGAACGGAGGGGGAGACAGGGCACCTCCCAGCTCCACCGGGGCAGCTGGCCTGGCTGCAGCCTGCGGGAGGCCTGATCCGACGGGGCCTCCGCCCCTCATTTCTTCCTCTTCCGCCCCCTCGAGTACTCCAGGGCTTCTGGATCACTGTCCCCGTCGGCCCCCTCGAGTCCCTGGCTCGGCGGGGCCAGCGGCCGCTTGCACCGCCGGCGCGTGTACGAGTGGCCAGGCAGCTGCTTGTGCAGCATGTCTATCAAGCACTGTTCCGTCTTCTCGAGGCAGGAGAGGACGTGGCTGCCGTTCTGGTTGTACTGCTCGGCGTTGGCGAAGACCTGCTTGATGTCGGAGAGGAAGTCCTGCACGGAGCGGTAGCTGCCGCAGGAGCACTTGCTCTGCATGGTCCGGAAGTCCATGGGGCTGCTGATCACCTCGAAGTAATCCTCCGCCTCCTCGGTGGTCACGGGCTCCCTGCCAGGAAGGCCACGGGCCGGTTATCCTCAGGGCGGCACTCCCTCCGCCCCGGCCCGCCCCGCGCACTCCTCCGCCTGGGCCCTCCTGGGCCTCTCCGGCGCCATCGCTCCACGCACGGCCCAAGCAGCACACACGGCGGGGCCCAAGCGGCGGAGAGGGGAGAGCGGGAGCCGCAGTGCAGGCTGCCGGGCACTGGCACACCCCGCACGCAGGGCCATCTCGCCACCCTGTGCCGGACGGGGCCTTTGCTCAGGCCACTCGCAGTTCCCGGCTGCCTTCCACCCGAGATGCGGACACGAGCGGCAGGGCCGCACGCCTCAGACCACGCACCCTCCTGAGGGGAAGCAGCAGCGCCAGCTATGCAGCTGGAAGGAACCAGCAGCAGTCCTGTCCACACGGCCCATCCGCCTGCTGCGGCGGCCTCACCTGAACGGCCAGCTGAAGCGGTACTTGACCAGCTTGCTGAGGATGTCTTCACACTTCTGCAACTCCAGGGCCTGCCGGCGAGAGATCTTCTTCGTCTGAAGCACCTGGACACAGGGGCCAAGTCAGACGAGGCGGAGGAGCCCAGCAGGCTGTCCCAGGGCAGCCATCAGAGCCACTGCTCCCACCCTCCTCCTCTGGCAGAAACAAGGGCCAAGGCCAGCCGACTCGGCTGCCAGGTCTCTGGCCGGGAACAGCCACCCTCTGTTCGGCAACGCTTGCAGTTCCCAGAGCCCGCTGCTCTCCTCCCAGCTGCAGGCGCAACACAGAGCGGCTGCTCCCAAGCCTTCATTCGCACCCAGGAGCACTTCGTTCCTCTCATGCTTCCCCAGGCTGACACCCTGAGCAGAGGGTCAGCAGGAGCACCTGGGAGGCAGCCGAGCGCCTCTCCGCGGGAAGCCAAGGCAGCCCGGCACGGGCTCAGCCAGAAGGGCCCCAAGGCGGACGCAGAATCATGGCGGCGGCATCCCAGGCGCCTCACTGCAGCCCAGTAGGGTGCAAAGCAAGCCTCCGAGTGGCTTCCTCCAGGGAGAAGCAGGCCTGTGTCCAGGGAGAGGACACAGCAGGTCAGGAGGCACAAGCCTGTGCAGTGGCCAAGAAGGGCACGAAGCCTTGCGCATCCCGAGGAAGCGGGCAACACCCGGAACCCAAAGGACAGAGCAGAGCCGTGCCTGACCAAGAGGGAGCCAGGTGGCGCTCCCACTCAAGTGACAATGTGCTGGCGGCTCCAGTCGCCCAGGGGCAAGCAGGACGGAGAAGTGGAAGCCTTCTTCTCTAAAGTGCCACATGAAACGCAAGCCGGGCAAATTCCTTCCTGTCATGCCACACGGCAACGCGGTCCCCCTGGAGAGGGTGTGGGCTGTGCGTGTTGCCACGACGAGGCACACAGTGCCCTGCCTTCACAGGAGAACCCCGGCTGCTGCCTGGAGAGTTTGGACCACCTGCCCAGTCGCCAGGGCAGTGGAGGAGAGGATGGGTGCTCGACACTAAAAGCGGCGGTGCCTGTGCAGGCAGGGGACTCTCTGTATGGGACACCGGGAGAGGCCTGTCCTGCTCAGAATTACTAAGCTTGGACCTCACGGCTCTTACCAGCTCATCAATGTTGGCATCGCTGACGGCTGCGGGCTGCTGCCGGGACCCTCGGGGGACAGGGAGCGTCCGTTTCTTGCCTTGATGCCGGCCCCGCCTCGGGGGATCCGCAGCTATGCCCCCTTGTCTCCCCTTGGCTGCTTTCCTGGGCCTCACTGCAAACCAGAGGGGACACTCAGTGAGTGGATACGGGGAGCAGGGAGCACCACGAGCTCCAGGGGCAAAGAGGCGGCTCTGTGCTTGCGCCCCTTCCCTGTGAGGGGCAACACGCTCCGACAAGCGGCTCTACTCTAGATGCCTCCACAGAGCAGAACCAGACCTGAAGCACTTACGTGGCCCCAGAGAAAGGGACCCGCAGATTTGCAAGCACACCCCTTGTCCGCAGGAGCCCTGTCCGAAACTGCACTGACCAAGGGCCCCACACTCTCCGCACCTTGGACACCCAGCCTGAACCTGGACTCCCCACAGGCATCAGGCAGGCTGCGGTCCCCTTGGGGGCAGGCCACCCTGGCCCACGCGGCTGAGGCGCTGCCGTTTCGCCACAGGAAGGTCCCCTGGCTCTGCCACACCCTCCAGCTTGGCCAGGACAGCTTGTGGCGAGGAAAAGGCACCGAGCATCACGAGCCCCATGGCCCCAGGAAGCACAGGCTCACACCTGCCTGCTGCACGGGACAGCACGTGTGCTTGAGCCATGTGCAAGGGGCCTGTGCCGCAGCCAGGGCAGCTGTGCAGCTGCAGGCGGTGGCCTGCGTGCCGAACGCTCGCCCAAGTGCAGCCGCACAGCCCCCGCAGCCTGCCCTCCACCGGTCGCTTCCCATCGGGGAGAGAGGCTGGCTTTCAGCAGCTGAGCAGAGCTGGCCTTCCTCAGAAGCCAGCTTCCCTGCGGGGGGGGGGGGGGCCCCTGGCAGGCCAGCTGCCTTTCCGTACGCCTACTCCGGGCTCTGGGCAGAGCATTGCAGCGAGCCTGCCTGAGGCCACTCCCGCTTGTGCCGACTGGCCACATGCGCTAGATACCTAGCAGTCCCGACATTCCCTGCCAGAGCGCTCTGGATCGCGGCTGTGCCGAGGGCTCACGGTGACACTGCCAAACAGGGAGATCTCTTCAGCACCCTGCCCTGGCTAGATGCCTCAGCACTGAGGCTGACAGCTCTATTTTTAGCCGCCGTGCATCCCTGGGCTTAGCCAGGCCAGCAGGAAGGAGTCCGAACAGACCTCAAGTGCAGACAAAGGCTCACAGCACAGAAGCCTCCTTTCAAAGGTGGGAGGGGCCTCCTCCGAGCAGAACCTCGCATGCTGACGGGCCTTGCCAGAGGGGCTCGCTTCAGATGGCCCTGGGCCTCGGCCAAATCACTCCCCTAGCCTGTGCTTCCTCAGTGGAAAGCGACTGGCTGAGCTCGTAGGGGAAGGAAAAAGGACACAACATCTTGGAAGTTCTACAGAAATTAAGGGGGGAGAGAGTGCGAGACCCATAGCTGCCCGAAACCCAGCCAGCAGAGAGCAGTGGCCATAGAATGCAGCGCCATTCCTCACTGATGGCAGAGTTGCCGGATGGCTCACCCCACACTGCTTTTATGATTGCTGCCTAGACAATTATCACAAAGAAAGCCAGCGGATATGAACTTAAGCAAACTGATGGACCTGAGTTTCCTTGTGAGAAAAGGCAGTGGGCGTGACTGCAGTCTGTGACATTGGGAAACAATGAATCGATGCGCGTGCGTGCACACGCAGAGTTATTCCGTCTCCTCGATGGGAGAGGCAGCACAGTTACGGCCAGCAGAGGGAAGGGCTTCACAGAATCCACGGACAAGACACTCACTGCAGCAGATGGCCGAGGCTAGCACTGCAACAGAATGTTGTGACCAAGAAACTGAAGCCCACCTTCAGTTCATGGACTTCCTCTCATGCTTAGCCCTGCCTCAGGAAGCGAGCTGAGCCAAGAGCCAGTCTGCTCGAGCAATGAGCGGCCTTCTCCCACATCAGCACAAAGGCTGAAAATTAAGTATATGGGAGGAGGACACCGCTTGCACGGCAGACCAGATTCCTCACACATCCCTAACTGAGCCACAGGTCAGGTCTAAAAGGGGCTTTGCGGGACTAACCCGAGCAGGAGGAGGAGATCTTCCGGGCACCCGAGTCGGCATGTGCCATGAAGGCCACGGGAGCAACCAGCTGCTTCGGCTGACGGGGACATGCACAGGGGGAACGGGAAGGCCAGTCAACACGAGGTGCAGGCCTTCCAGTCGGCAAAACCAAGGGTTCTGTTGTGGAGGAAGCCCAGGCCCCGGGGGCCCCCACCTCGAGGAAAGGCTTTGCCGCTCTGTCCCCGTCCACAGTGGCGCTGGCCAGAGTGTCTTGTGCCTTGCCCCTACCTCACGCTGGCCATGCAGCAGGCTGGCCCCCCCACAGCACTGGGGGGGGGTCTGCATGCAGAAGGGACTAGGCACCTGCCTCTCCCTGCACTGTCACAGCAGCGCTGGGGGTGCCAGGCAGCATTCGGACGGCCCCAGGGCAGGGCAAGCACGTTGCCTGGCCGCGCTGCGCCATCTGCGTGGCCTTGTGGCTCCGCGTGCGCAACCGGACCTCAGTGACCTGGATTCCAGTCCCCGCTCAGCCATGCAGCCAACTGGCTGACTTTGGCCGGTGACAGGCACTCAGCCCACCTCCCTCACCGGCTGGTTGTTGTGGGGACAGGACCGAGAAACACAGAAACAGAGAGAGCCAGAAGGGGCCTCCCGGGCCATCTAGTCTGACCCTGGCTCCAGCCGGCTCCGCTCACGACATGCCCACCAGGTGCGTGTCCAGAGCAGGAGGAGAATTATGTAAGCTGCCTTGAGTTCCTTGGAAGGGGAAAAAGCAGGCTATGAAGAAAACGAGTAAAATGCAGGGTCCAAAACGGTTGAGTCCAGGACTATTCTGGAGCATTTAAGCAGCAACTGGGCAGCCCTTCAAGGCTTTCACCAAGGACCACGCAAATCAACAACAGGTAGAACTAATTTCAGCAACTGAGGCATTTTCCACTGCACATGCCAGGGGACTCCTGCGGCCACTCCAGCACCTGGCAAAGCCAAGCCCCCGTCCCCACCGTGCAAGCTACGCCCGCTCTGGGTCTCCAGAGCCCCACGCCCACTCGCCCAGGCCCCACCACCGAGCAGGGGCCTGGCCCACCACTCCGCAACCCAGACTGCCAGCGAGGCACGCTGCTTTTGCAGGGAAGCTACTGTGCCCCGAAATCGCAGCACGGGACTCACCCACCCGCAACCCCAAAAGCCCTGGGCTGGGCGTGACAGCTGGAGCCCCCCACGTTTTCATGTGACGTACATTTCAATCCAGCGACTTCATAGTCCTCCTCCTCCTCCTCCTCCCCCTCCTCCTCTTCCGATTCTTCCTCGCCAGCTTCACTCTCCTCTTCAACCGAGTCCTCGGCGTAGTTCCTAGAAGACAGAGCCAGGAGTCCATGCCTGGCTTTCCCTCCAGCTGTGCCAGCTCTAAGACCCCAGACCTGCAGCAGCAGGCGTCCCTTGTCCCTTCTGTGCTACATCCAGGGAAAGGACAAGGGAAGTACCCGCCTTCTGACAGAGGACGCTCAGCCTTGCGGGGGAAGCTCTTAAATGAAAGGCCCAAGGAAATGTCAGCAGAAAGCCAAATGCCCGCCCTTAAAATATGCTCACACAACTGGTGCCCTCCAGATGTGTGGGGCTCAAAGTCCCATCATCCCCAGTCAGCACAGGCAAAGGTGGGCAGAGAGCTGGAGCCTAAACTACCAGGAGGGCACCAGACGATGAGGCTGCCTTCAAGTCTCCCCTTTGGAAACCCAGGGCATCCCCACCAGCCGCAGGAGACTGGCACACCTGGCTCGGGTCCGGAGCACTGGGCACTGAGCTTAAGGAGGCGAATCCAGTGCCACGCAGACGCCCACTGCCCCGACGTGGAACACGCCTCACCTGCCCCGAGAGCTGCGCCTGGCCACGGAGGGCTGACAAGCCGGGCACTGCCACTCGCCTTCCGGGACCTCGTAGAGGGCAGGCCTCAGGCAGAACAGGTGGAAGGCTTTGCTGCACTCGTCGCACAGGATGAGCTTGTCGTCCTCACCTGGAGCGGAAGGAACAACCGCTGCACTGACCACGCTGCCCTGCTTCGGACACGGTAACCGTGCCGCGCCACCAACCGCCAGCCTGCAGCAGTTCAGAGAGAGGGAGAGCCACGCCCCCGTTCTCGCTGCGCCTGACCTGAAGACTCTGCGCACCTCCTGCGCACTGTCTCGCTGCCGGGGGCTGCGGCAGGTCTCCTGCTCGGCTTCCCGTGGCTCACCTCTCCTGGACACCGCCCCCCACACTCAGGGGAGCCTTGCTGGCTCTGCCTCCCGAGCCATCCTCTCCCCCGAAGTCCCCTTTCAACTCCGCTTTCCCACAACAGGCCCTGTTTGCGGGAGTGAAGGCTCACTCACTCCCCAGCCTTTCCTCCTCGCTTCACTGCAGAGCAGCCTGCCAACTTTATACAAGCCGCTGGGGATCGTGGCTGCCACATCCCGCTTGTGGGCTTCCCACTGCAGCATCTGGTAGGCTGCTGTGCGGGCAGAAAGCTAGACCAGAGAGGCCCCCTGGGTCGGACTCACCATGGCTCTTCTGGGACTGCTATTCCGCATCACAACCAACTGAAGGGCACCGGGGAAAAGAGGGTGTGTGTGCCATGTAGACCACCCGGGAGAACGGTGGGCCAAAGTGTGGCAAGCCAAGGCCTGCAAGGAGCCAGCCAGTGGCACCCTTTACTCTGACAGGATGGGGGGTGGGCAAGCAGCCGCTTCCTGCAGCCCCACACAACTCCCTTCCACAGGACAGGCAGCCACGGGAAGCCCAGCTGCTGCCCCCCGCCCAGAGTGATACCTTTCTTGCGGCACACTTTGCACCGGGCGTTCTCTGCCGACATGTCCCACTTGATGCAGGCGTCCAGCATGCCCAGCAGCACATGCATGCGCGAGAAGGTCTGTGCCTCACGAATGGCCATCTTCCATTTCTCCACAGCTGAAGCAACCTGGTGACAGAACAACCGGCATAGGGCAAGATTCCCAAGGACTCAGGAAGATGGTCCATGACCCATTCCTGGGACTCACAATCGCCATCACTGAGGCAGCAGTGACAAGACATTCTTCGCCTCTACCCCGTGGAGACCCATAACTCCTGATCAACAAGCTCCACATGGCTAGCCTGAAACTGGCAGCGTTCTCGATTTTATCATCAAAACCAAATCCTTGTTCATCAAAGAGAAACAAACAGCAAAACTTCAGCTGCTTATGATACAGATCGACTGGAAGGCACAGAGTTCCAGCAACAAAACCAGAGAACAGCCTCAGCTGCCCTCTAGTGACAGCTCTGAAGCATTGTGTCCAATCTGCAGCCAAGCTCAGTAAGCGCCTGGCCGGGATGTGAAGCTGCCACAGCTCCTTGAACACAAAGAGTCCCTGAGCATCTGGGCTCAGTGAGCTTCTGGGTAGTGACCAATCTGCAGTTTTAGGACGAGCCAGCCAGCAAACTGTGCTGGCTCCATCCGTGTTATTTGCTTCAGTAACTCAAATGGACAGCCGTGCTTGAGACAGGGTGTTCATGTGCCAGCCGTGGCGGAGACTCGTGAGGATGTGGGACTCAGGCAGCTGCCTTTGTACCAAGAGAAACCAAGCATCCCAGGGACTGGCTGAGAGCTCTGTGGTTGGCAGCAGCTCAGGAGCCAAACAACACCCCCCAGCTCCTGCAGAGCTGCATATGTCCCTCCCAGTGAGCCGGAGGAAGAGCAGTGAACAGGATGGCCAAGGAAACCCAGCTGAGCATTGTGGGAACTCACCAGCTCATTCTGTTCCTGCCCCTTCACTCATAACACCTCTTGGGCACACTGCTCTCTCAAGGACCACTCGCACACCTGGCCAAGACAACTCACACTCCCGCCAGTTCTCATTCCGCTGCATAAAGTACCCAACTTTATGCAGGGCTTCTCGAGTTCTATGGAGTGGGGCGGGGGGTACCTGTGCCTTCCAACCTAAAGTGTCAGCATCAGGTGGGCAGGGGACCCCAAGACCAGGTAACTGGCCACAGTGCCAAACTGCGAACAGGAGCGGCTGAGGATGACTGGCCCCGACCCTCCACTCCCCTTCCTCATTCTCTTAGTGGAGAACCTTTTCTGACATCCCCAGAGCACAGCAGCCTCCTCGATTCAAAACACAGGAGCCGCAGGGCGTGGGCACATCAAGAACCCCGCAGCCATGAAGAGTACTGCTCATCGCCTCCACGGCGTCACAAGACCACAGAACTAAAACAGATCCAAGGCTGTCCACCCAGAAGCCGGGACAGCAGAGGGCACAGCAAGCCCCTTCCTGGCCCGTGATCCTACCACGGCTGCTCCCTGCAGCCACACACTGGCTTGCCCCTGGCCAGGCCAGCACCAGGCACTGTTACCACAGGCCAAGTGGGGACAAGCAAGTGGCCGTGCATGGATGGGGCAGTTGCACAGAGGCCTCGGGGAAAGAAGAAGGGCTGTTGCCAGTGGAGTTTTCCGGAAGAACAAAAACAGCAAAGAAACACGGAAAAATATTTTCTTCCTAGAGTGCTTTCTGCTTTGATTCTGGAAGCTGGTTGAGTAATCCGCAAGGAACTCTCTGCTTCTAAAAAGCCAGCAGAAATGGAAATGCTGAATCGACCTGTTCCTGCCCCAGCCCTCAATTTCTCCACCTGAAAGCAAAGCCTCCCTGATTCCAATAAGGTTTGCAGTCACACTTAAGGCTGGGGCCTTTGATAAGCATCCCACCCATCAAGTGCTTGTGGCTACTCCTCCCCTTCCACCTTGGCTCTGGCAGAAGAGCGGGGTCCAGAACCCGGGTCCCTCTCCCCCACGCACGCAGAGGTGCACTAGCCATCTCAAGCAAGCTGGGAGGGTTTCTCTGCGCTTCTCTGCAACGATTAAGACCTTAGCTTCTTCCGCCACCTTCTTCTCTTCATCCACCTCCTCAGCCTTGGCGACCGCATCCTCTCCTTGAGGCTTCCTCCTTTTCTGTTTGGGGGCCATGAAGCCTTGCAAGAACTTCTTGATGACGCTTGCCTGGAGGGCAACCACACATTCCCCAAAATCCTTCAAATTCTCCAGCGAACAAACCTGGTCAAGGAGTCACAAATCCATTATCATCATTCGCTTTCATCGTACAGTTTAGAGCTTTCATTAACCATAATACCTTAGGAAACACATGGGGGAAATTGGCAACAGGCGCCTCTCTAACAAGAGCATGGATCAAGGATGGCAGATCTTAGGCAGTAACACGGGAAGAGCAGAGCTTCCGTCATTTCCAAGAAGCCCGTGGGAACGGTCCCATCCCTGGTGCCTCCGCAGCCTCGCACAGAAGTCACGAAGGCACATCAGAGGGTTCCAGCTGAGCACCTTGCAAGCAAACCAACCAGCACTTCAACCTCCCTCTGCCACATCCAGAAGGGGTTCCTAGGCACCTTTGGCTGCAAGAATCCTTCAAGGGACTTTCACAGACATTAGAGGACATCTTATTCGTCACGACTTCAGATCAAAGCAACCGCCCCCCCCCCGCCGCCCCTTTGGTGGCTCATGGCAATCCCGTCTGTCACAGCAGAGCTTCCAGAAAGCAGGCTTCAGGACTTTCGTGTAATTAAAGCCAAAGACGCATACATACGAACTCCCCTCCAGCCTATGTGAAGCATCACGAGATGGCTCAAGACACGGGCCGGTGCCAGCCAAGCATCCCCTGGCATGACATCAACGCGGCTGCTTCAGAGGCCATGCATCCCTGCCACCTTTCCACACCACAGCTCACCCTGCTTTCAAACTCTGCCTCGTTGATGTACCCCAGGCCCCCTTTTTGCAGCCGAGTGGCAACTTCAATGAGATCACTGCGCAAGTAGTTCAGGAGCTCCTGGGTGCCATTGCAGGACTTCAGGCCTGGGTTCTGCTTCCGGGCCAAGTGAATGGAATGTGTTATGTCTTGGTACCTACGAGAGGAGAGTGCACAGCGCCAGATGGAGAGGCCGAGTTGAACTTGCTTCATGAACTCAGGCAGAAGCCTCGAGATGCTGCTTTAACTCTCGAGTTCTGCTGACCCGGTTCCCAGCCACAAGACCATCCCGGGGCCGTCTGGACTCATGACTGGACTGCACCAGCAGTCCTGGGACTAATGGAGCTGCAGTCCAGCACACCTGGAAGGCACCAGGTCAGGAAAGCCAGACAACAGCCGTGGTTGATGCAGCTCTGAAGGATCTGAGGCAGGCTGGACAGGACGAGAGAGGTATTTACAACCTTGCACAGGTTCGGCTGGATGCCAGCGGGGCGAGTTAAAATACCTCTCCAGCAAAGCTACGAGGCAGGAAGCAGCCCTTGGAGGAAAGCAGCGTCCTGCCCTCTCGCGGCACCTGCTTCACTACACGCAAGATCGCCGCGTGTTCCAAGAGGAGGCCAAGTCTACCTGGCGACAGAATGGTGAACCCAGTCGGCAATTTTGCCCTCCCACAAAACATCTGTCAGCTCTCTCACAAACCATTTCCTTCTCCAAAGTGTGTGTCACACAACTCACTGGAGCAAAACTGGCAAATCCGCACAAGCAGAATACAGGCCCCAGAAGCCCAGCAATCTCTCCCTCTGTTGCCCTGGCTTAGCTCAGCAGCCCCCACCAAGCGGACATCAGGGAACCTGGACGAAAACCCAAAGCAAGAGCTCACTTCTTCTGCAGCCGATCTTTCAACTGGCTCTCTCGGATACCCTGAGAGTGCAGGCAAGCCAGCAGCTCATCCAGCTCTTTCTGGCTATCACAGAGGAACCTGGAAGAGATCATACATCTACTCAATGTTACTGAAAACATGCAGTAAAATAAAAGCCATTCAGGCAGCACAGAAGATGACCTAACGCCCTTCCAGCCTTTTTCACCAGCCCAGACAACAGTTTTATTTGTGCATTCACACACCCTGCTATATACTTACTGCTTTTCAACAAAAAGTTCCCAGAGGTGATTTACACAGAACAAAACTGCTTCATAATATTCAAATCTTATAAATTTTTTTGAAGTATACTACAGTGCTTTTTTACTTAGGCTTTATATTTTCACCTAAATTTTCATTTTACACACACACACACACACACACACTTACTTTTCATTACATTTTACTTTGAGCCAGAAGAAAAAGAGCAACATCAACAGCTGGGAACAGGTGAAGCAAGGTGGTCAAATCCTGTGTACACCCAGTAGTGTCTGTGCCCCCTTCTGGTGGAGAGGCCACAGCAGAGACAGTGGTGAAGGGAAAACAACCTGCAAGCTGGCAGAAGTATCTGCCATGCAGCAGCTCAATGAAAGGCCATTGTGTTCGGCATTTTTACAAAACCAAGCCACCATTTCTTTCATATAATAGCGTAATAAAACAGTTTCAGCTTAAAGTCTTGTACTTTGCAACAGACTGGGCAGATTCCAAAAGCTCAAAGGTTGATTGCCTAGTTATTAAGAGGTTATAATACAGCAAACAGTAACCAAACTCGGCAGAAAAACTCTTTCTGAATGTTCTGAAAGCAATGAAATGGCAGAGACAGAGCTGAGCACTACGCTAAAGCAGCGCTCCCCAAGCCCGGTGTGCTTCTGTTGCCTTTCACACCGCGAGAGAACCATTTCACATTGAGGCCCAGCGGCTGACAGAGCCATCCAGGGCAGCACCACAAAGGCTGACGGTCTCACATTTCCCCTCTTAAATTACGTCCTCCTCACAAAGCCCCAGCGAGAACGCAGGCTGAACATGCCCCTATTTCTACTCCTGACAGGAAAAAATGCTTGCTGACAAGCACAAAACAGAGAAATGTCTCACCACAGGTTCTGTCCTTGTTTGGGCACTGTGGTCTCAACGGGGATTTCTGGAATGGGCAGGACCCCCTGCGGAGTGTTCAAAACGCTGCCTTCTACCAGTGTCTCCTGTGTCTCTGTAAGCATCACAATCATGGTTAAAAAGGAAGCCCGTTTCCCAGGGCTTCTGTTTACCGTATCCAAGCGCAACCAAGCCAAAGCCTGCCTTTCGCCAGGCATGTGGGTCGCAGGACTGTTTTCTTCATGGGTGTGCAGTGTGTTATGTGAGCAAAGCTCAACTGCACAGAGATTTTCTTGGGAACAGCTGAGTCACCAAGTCCTACTTCTAACCAAATGCTGATTAAGGACTGACCTGCTGCTGCTTCCTTATTTCTAAGAGATTCGGCAGGTGGCACTGGCAAGCACAACTCAGGCGTGCAGTTACCTGACCGGGAAGAAACAGGAGAACTTGGGCTCACCTTGCTGGTAGTCGTCATCATCTTCATCCACTTCCTCCTCCTCCTCTTCCTCATTTGGAGGCGTAAAACTATAATCGATGCCATCATGAACCCAGCCCTTCTCTATGAATAAACCTGGTACCTCATCAGAAAAGAGCCAATACCTGAACAAAACACAGGTTAGATGTGAAAGGGGCTGGATTCCATACCTTGCACCCACCCTGTGAACACAGGCTCAGTGGCTACATTAAGCTTTCTGACTCGCCAGGAAAAGCTGGGAACTGCAGAATGGCACTTGGGACCAAGTTCAGGAGGACACCCCAGTGGGCCTACTTCAAGACGGCACTTAGCTGATTGAGGGCTGCAAGAAGTAACAGAGCAGGAAGCAGGTGTGATGCAGAAAAGGGCAGAGGCCATGGGCAGGGTGGAGGGAACACTGCCTTCATAGTACAGGCAGGGAAAAAAAGAGGATCTCTGTGAAATGGGTCTAAAGAAACAAGAGGCCCAAGCAACTGGGGTGGTAAATGGGCAGCCAAGTCTCCAGCTGCTGGTGCATCCAGGCACAAGTGGCCCTCACTCGCTTCACCCCATAGCACAGGACAGAGGGAACCGGCTCCCCGGACAGAAGAGGGCCACGGGTCACACACAGGGCAACTGAGCCAATGGAGATAAAAGCTGCGGAGCCAACCGAGGGCCTCTGGGCTCACACAAGGCCACCCACAGGCCAGAGCTCAGAGGTGGAGACCTTGTCTTGCAGCAGATGGTTCCAGTATCTCCAGCTAGACCAATGGAATGTTGGCCTGCGCTAGCAAAGACACCTTGACCCCACAAAGCTAGCTGGAGCAGACAACAGTGGCCCAGCCGGACAAAGCCTAGCCTTGTTTGTGGCAGCTGCCTGGACACACGCACACAGCCCTGTTCCCCACCTGTTGTGATTGCGGTCTGTGCCAATGGGTGTCCTGCGCATGACCAGCTTTGCCTTGGCGATACCATCTTGGAAGGCCTTTTCCGCTGCAGCTTTGTGCTTGCGAATTCTCTCCTCTTCTGCTTCCCTCTCAAGTTTTACTGGTGGACATCAGATCAGAAAGGAATAAAAGCCATCAGCTCTCCACAGATTTTTTTACTCTCCTCTGTCAGCGACTCCTGCATATATATCAGCCACCCACACTTTCAAAGTCTGAAACCAAGGTAGCCACTTCTCCCCACCATCTGCAGTGCTTGCTTAGAGGTGCAGCTGGGACTGGCAGCCTTTAGGATTAAGAGCAGGGCACCCCCCTCCCCCCGCTCAGCACACAGAGCCAGGAGAGCAACAGCATTCAAAGAGATTACACAGAAACACAGAGAGTCAGAAGAGGCCTCCCAGGTCACCTAGTCTGACCCCTGGCTCCAGCCGGCTGTGCTCATGACATGCCCACCATGCGCATGTCCAGCCTATCCTTGAACACCTGCACCGATGGGGCCTCAGCCACCTCCCGGGGAAGCCCATCCCACGCCCGATGGGTCCTAACCGTCCGGAAGTGCTTCCTGGCATCAAATCTGAACCCTGGTTCCCTGAGCTTTGACACAGAGCTGTGCAGGACATGGCTGGGAAGGCTTTTACATACAAGACGCTTCAGGTGAATCCCAGCACCAGCAGCTCAGAGCTCAATGCACATGCCACACAGTAACGCAGAGTCATACAGCAGGGGTGCTTTCTCAGCGGACTCCCTGCTGGTCCCTTCCCCAGCACACAGCAATGCTTGGGACCTGAGGCGTGTTAGTGGCCGCGTCCAGCAGCTCTATTCCCAAGGTTTACCCTCTGAATCTTTACCTCTCATCTGCATCTCCTGGTGCTCCTTCTCTTTCTTGGCCTGGATAGCTAAGAGCCTCCGGCTCTTGACGGTGCTGATCATGTCCTCTGCTTCCATCTCCACCCGTGGCTCCATCTTGAGCACTTTCTCCTGTTCCCCTTTCTTCTTCTCTCCTCTCCCCAAGCTGCTCTCCTCCTTACCATTCTCTTTGTTCTTGGCAACCATCTCCTTCCGTTTCTGCTTCTCTGCCCTCTTCTTGTCATTCTCCTCTTTCAGCACTGCCAGCCGCTCCTTCCACAATTCAGCCGACATCTGCTGCTTTGCCTCCATGTGATCCTGCACTGAATAGGTCATCAAAATCCGGTGGCAAAGTGCTGTGAGGATCTGCAGCTTCTCCTCAGAGGTCAGTTCAAAAAATTCTGATGTCTCCAGTTTCTCCAGGAACTCGTCCTGCACCTCATTGTCCTCAAAGGCAGCCATATCTTTGTTCTCTTCTGCATTTTCTGAAACATCACTTTCCTCCTGTATGTCTGACCTGCGCAGACAAAGGCGGACCAGTTCAGAAACAGAGTGCAGTGTGAGGGGAATCTCAGACAGTTTCATGCCCAGTTCAAGGTAGTCTTCCGCAATCTCATCTTGTAGCAGGGTCTGTAGGAGAATGACCAGGATCCTATTCAAGTACAGAAATCCACCCTTCTCAGCACACAGGGCTTCCATGAGGGAAGCGGCTGTGATGGGATACTGGGCATCTGGAAGCAGCAGCCCGGAGTAGCAGCTCAGGAACTCCACCACCATGGCCACATCACCAAAAAGGGTGTTTGGGAGCCCTTCTGGAGTATCCACCAACTTAAAAGCAGGTAGGCTGTTCCCTTTGATGTCCTGGTCCTCGTAACGCTTCTGCTTCTCCAATTTCTCCATCATCTCTTTCTCCCGACGCTCTTTGGCTTTTTCTTTCAGCTTTTCCTTCAACTTCTCCCGTTTCTCCTTCAGGTACTCTTTCCGCTGATCCTCTGTCATGGAAGCCCAGTTCTTCCGATGCTCAAGGAGTTCATAGCGCTTCTGTACTATACCCCGCAACTCCTCAGGAAGACGGGCGCGATCCTCACTGGAGAGCAGCCGGGCAGTCTTGGAGATAATACAGGAAAGGGCACTTTTCTTGTCCTCCCTGTCTTTATTGTCTCTGTAGTATGCAATGAGGTGAAGTGCTGCAGGTGGGAGATGTTTTGGGGGTTTGGTGGAAGACCTGGGGCCGCCTCCTGAATTCCTTGGGGCTCTTGACACCTTGGATGTGCCCTTCGTCATGTCCAGCAGTGTCATCTGCTTCATTTTCATCTTGGACTCCTTCTTGGGAGATCTGGTTTTTCCAGGATTTTTCTGCCCGTTCAGAAGCTTCTTGTTTTTCTGCTTTGGGTCTAAGGGTTTCCCAAGCCGCTTCTTGTTGAAGCTATTACCAAGTTTCCCAGGTGACATAATTTTCATCACATTCTCCAACTCTTCTGTGGCAGATTTAGGGTTCTTGGCATTCTTGACTTTCAGTGGGGAGCCCAGAACTGGCTTCTTCAAATGCACACTGCACCACAGTGAGGGGCTCAGCCCCTGGCCTGGAGAAGAACCATCTGACTTGGGCTTTTTGGAGGGCTTCCTATCAGGTGATGAAGTGCTCTTCCTCTTTGTTGAGGGATTGAGAGTCAAATACTGAAATCAGAAGTGAGGCAACAGGTAAATATCTGAGCTTAAAACTGAACAATCTAGGAGTAGGAAAAGCATAGGTTCAAAAACCTGAAGCAGTATTTGCCTCATAGAAGTTAGCAGAATAGGACTGCTAACAGGCTCCCAAATGTTCATTCTGAGACATCATACAGAAAAGCATTCTAGAGCGAATTGCTCATATTCAACCAGGAAACATTAAAAATATCCCAAAAGCATTTGGACCATGTTGTTGTTGTTGTTGTTAACATTTCTATGCCGCCCCTTGCCGAAGCCTCGGGGCGGCTTACAACACAATAAAATACAATACAATACAAAAATAACAATATAAAATAAAAAATATAAAACGATATAAAAGGAGTTAAAAAGTTATAAAAGAAAAGAAAAGAAAAGAAAAGAAAAGAAAAGAAAAGAAAAGAAAAGAAGTCGCCCTGGCCGGATAAATAAGTAAATATTGTTAACAATTAAAATGCAGCACAAATAGGTGGGATGAATTATTCCACCTGATGGAGAAAGAGGCACAATTCACTTTAGAATTTATTGATCACCAAATGACAAAACATTTCAGAATATATGAAGCAAACTAATGCATATTGCAAAATTAAGGTACTTTGCACTAATTCTAAAACTACTTTGACTGCAAAAAATGCACAGGTTTTGTACGTGCCTTCCAGGCCACGCTGTCTTTTGTTTAATAAGAAATTTCCACCTTTTCTTTGCCTTCCCCTTTCAGCTTAGACTGAGACTTCTTGATAGACCCTTCTGGTGGGAACAGGAATAATTCTGGCAATATCTTTTGCCCTCTTCCCTCAATACCCTGGTGGAAAAGTCTTGAACGTATCACTCAGAAGTCTCTCTCCAAAGATGAGGCAATTATCCTTTGTGGTGGGGGGTTGGGGGGCAGTCTCCCAGAAAAACTCCATGTGAGAACAGGAGAGTATAAGATGTCAAGACACATCACCAAATGAATACTGATGAACACAGTAGAGAATGGTGCCCACACTGCCTCTTCCTAACAGCTGCTCCCATGCTACGCCTTCTATGCAGCCTTCCCCAACCTGGGATGCAGCTTCCATCATCCCAAGCCAATCATGAGCCACTCCTTTGACACTGAAGGCCTGTTAGGGGGCTGATTTTTCTGAAGCGATGAGAAGAACCAAAAGGCATCTTTGACACCCTTTCAGCTGGGGCCCAAGAATCACTCTCCACACACAGAGGTGACTCCTGTCCTCTTCCTCCACCCGCAGCCCAGACAGATCTTGCCTTATTTCTCACTTTATGTGGGTCAAGCAAGAAGTCACTGAACTTGCTGGGGAGGGAGTATTTCTTCACCAGTTCGTCCTCAACCACCCAGGGGGCGTTCTCGCCCGTGCCCGCCCGAAGGGCATTGTGGCGGATGAAGTAGCGCAGGATCTCCTTGTTGGGAGGCCGCTCTGTGCGAACTAAGCTGTCTGCCGGAACATTGCTGATGATCTTGGGAGAAAAACAACAACAACAAAGCTTTAGACGCCTGTCACTCCGCCAGTGGCTTGCAGAAGGTTTACAGGCAGACCCCGTGTTCACAGGGGCTGCTTAAGGCAGAGGTGCTTCTTCCTGCTCCTGGCCCAGCAGCAGTGTGACGACCTGAACAGCCACACCACAGACTTTAGCACCCTCCCAGCCGATGGTCAATTAAGAAACTGAGCGAGTGCCTCACCTTGTCTTCATTTTGCAGTTTGATGTCATATTTATGTGGCAAGAACTTTGGAGGCACCCATTTCTTTTCTTCCTTCTTCAGAGAAGTTGGAAGCTTCCGAGGAGATCGGCGTGCCCGGTCACCTGCCCAGTCAAGAAGGGAAGAGGGAGGGTTCACTGTGCAGCAATCTAGCTGCTCACGAGGCTGAAATACGGCTTGGGACAAGCATGCATGTTCAAAATCAAAGGCCCCAGCAGGCAAGGCAGCACGCCTGCTTCTGCAGGGGACTTAATATATGGCCTTCCATTTCAAATTGACTGTCATGCTTCAGGCACATCAAGAAGGCAGTAATGCTAAGAAAAGACAAAGCCAGAAAAAGAGGAGGACCGCCAAGCATGAGCTAGCCCCATTCCATAAAGGAAGCCGTAGCCTTGAGTTTATGCGAACTGAACAGGGCTGCAGGACATCTAGGAGGGCATTCATTCACGGGGCCCGACAAGTCGGAAAGGACTCAAGGACAAACAGCACGCCAGAGCATCACAAAGGCTCATCCACAGGCCAGCCACTGTCGACGCTACAAGGAGCGTCTGCTAGCAAGCAGCCTGCTCTGCTTGTCTCTAAACTTGGAAATTCCATTTGGTCATCATGGCTGAGTGCAGATTCTTCCATGGGATTATTTCATTTTGTTTTCCAAAAGCCACTGACCCCAACGTCCACCTTCATCGCATAACATCACGCATTAAAAAAGCTGCAGCCAACCAAGGTGCAGCAGAGCAGGAACATGTGAGCACAAACCGACCGTGCCGCAGCGACACTGAAGCAGCATCTCGTGATGGCAGGGGCTATGAATTACTTACATGGCTGTGCAAAGCACTTTTGCTGGACTATTCAGCCCATCCATTTCACCAAGGCACACCAAGTGCCAGCATTACTAGTGAGCCTGAGGAAAGACAGGTTCACCCTTCCAGCAGTGATGCTGCAAATCAGGTACTGCACTCCGCAGTAGGAAAAAGGGCGGGCAGCCCAACCCAGCAGCACTCCTGCGAGTCCTTCTAAGGTGCACGTGAGGTTCTTGCATGAGCAAGAGCTTTTCTGTTCATTCTGGTGGGGGAATAAAAGCCAATATGCAAGGCTTCCATGCGTATGAGCACACAAAGAACTTCCCTGACAACTCTGGAAAGGAACTATCCCTCAACAACACTCTGCAAGCCCTAGCTAACGCCAAACATGCAAGCCAGCTATCAGCACTACACCAAAGGCATTTGCCCTTTGAAGCTTGGGGGAGGCTAAACGTCACTGCCCTCAGAGCCAAGAGATCTTCTGACCGTGGCAAAATGAGCCTAAAGTGAGAACAATGCCTGAGGTTCTCAGTAGCACCTTTCAGGCAGTGCTGGTACGTGCGCTTTCAGAGCTTGTTCCTCAAGGGAGAACCATTGTTTATTACCTTTGCGAAATCATGGGAGGAAAGACAAAGACTGAAGGAGGGATAATGTCCTTATTTTCAAAATGGGCAAAAAGAACCAGTTAGTCTGACATCAACCCCTGGGAAAATTCTGGAGCAGATAATAAAAGCATTAGACTGCATGTACCTTGAAGACAATGCTGTGATTACTAGAAGCCAGAATGGATTTCTCAAGAACAAATTTTGCCAGACTAATCTGATCTCCTCCTTTGATCAGGTCGCCTCCCTTGTCAACTGTGGGGATGCTTCAGACATAATATATTATTTCAGTAAAGTTTTTGACAAAGTGCCCGATGATATTCTAACCCCGAAACTAGGTACAAGTGAGCTAGATGGAACGACGATCAGGGCATCCACAGTTGGCTGTAGAACTGGGCTCAAAGAACACGTTTCAATGGCACTTTCTCAGCCTGGGAAGAGGAAATGAGCTACAGGGTTCTGCCCTGGGCCCTGTATTTTGGTTAATAACTTGGATAAGGAAAGTTTATCAGATTTGCAGCTGACACAAAACAGGGTGGAATAGCTAATACCCTGGAAGACAAGAAACAAAATTCAAAGGGATATTGATAAGCTGGAGTGCTGGGTTTACAGTAAAAGAATGAAACTCGGCAGGGACAAATGCCAAGTTCTAGGAAAGGGAAACAAAATGATTGTTACAAGATGGGGACTACTTGGCTCACCAAAATGGCAAGTGTAAAGTATCTTGGAACTGTTACAGATCACAAGCTGAATATGAGTCAACAATGTGATGTGGGAGGCAAAATGGGAAAATACTATTTTAGGCTGCTTTAACAAAAGTAATGTAAGATCCATGAATCAAGGTAAGCTGGATGTGGTCAAACAAGAGATGCCAAGACTAAACATCGACATCTTAGGAATCAGTGAACTAAAAGGGACAGGAATGGGTGAATTTAATTCAGATGACCATCAGGTATACTACTGCAGGCAAGAATCCCTCAGAAGAAATGGAGAAGCCTCCATAGTCAATAAAAGAGTAGGAAAAGCAGTACTGGGACACAATCTCCAAAATGACAGAATGATCTCAGTTCGAATCCAAGGCAAACCATTCAACATCACAGCAGTCCAAGTCTATGCCCCAACCACTGGTGCTGGAGAGGCTGAAGTTGACCAGTTCTATGAAGGCCTGCAACACCTTCTAGAATTAATACCAAAAAATGATGTCCTTATCATCATGGGGGACTGGAATGCTAAAGTAGGAAGCCAAAAGATAACCGGAGTAACAGGCAGATTTGGCCTTGGAGTACAAAACAAAGCAGGGTACAGGCTGGTAGAATTTTGTCAAGAGAATACGATGGTCACAGCAAACACTCTTTTCCAACAACCCAAGAGACAATTCTACACATGGACATCACCAGACGGTCAACACAGAAATCAGATTGACTGTGCTCTGCAGCCAAAGATGGAGAAGCTCTATACAGTCAGTAAAAACTAGACCAGGAGCTGCCTGTGGCTCAGATCATGAGCTTCTTGTTGCAAAAATCAGGCTTAAATTGAAGAAAGTAGGGAAAAGCACCAGTTGGGCAACCACAAAGGACAACTTAACTTGAGAGTCCTGCACTCAGTGAGAGGTTGGGCTTGATGGCCTTATATGGTCTTCTGTGAAGGAGCTGTTTGAGTGGCACCCTCATACTCACTCAGACTCTCTCGTCGACTGTCATCTTCTTTCAATGCCGGCACTTTTGGGTTGTCCTGAACCACCTGGCTGGAATTCTCTTTGTCGCTTGATGGGGAATCACAGGCCCCATTGGTTTTTTTCTCTGCTGTCTCCTCTTCTGTTGTTTTCTCCAGAGGATGTATTTTTACCACCTTTACTCGCAACACTTTTTCTTTCCCAACCTGAATGAAAACAATCAGCTAATTAGAAGTAGGCAGCAAGGAACCTGATGCAAGCCCACAATTTGATTTAGGTAGCCATTTACAGAATGGCCAGAGTGGGCTGCATGCATACAAGCTGGGCAGGAAATCATTCATCTGTAGCAAAGTTTTCTAGACATATCAATTTAACAGGCTACAAAACCCCACAGTTTAAAAGATGGGGCAAACTCTTTTTGAAATAAATAATTTAAGAGATTTCACTCCACCAAATTGGGGTGGCATACACCATTTAAAGGACAATGCAAAGAATAAAGCCATACAATGCAGGCATTTCAGAAGCAGCATTAAACCAACAAAACCCACCAGCCACCCATAATGGAAACTGGCTAAAGGCCTTCATAAGCACCACAGAGGCTATTTTCTCTTGCATTTGGATTGTGCTCTTCTGCTGAGCCCAATGGTAATTCAGTTATAGCCATGACGCATGAAATGGGCTTTTGGGTCAATCCAAGGATGTTCGCTACGGGAAGAGATCGCTTGCTCATCTTCCTAGTATTTACCCGCCAAGGATTTTGCATTCCCTTCCCTCTTTTTCCAACATAGGACTTTTGCATCTAATAATTACTCTCAACTCCCAGAAAACCAACAACCATTGAGGGGCACACCTCCATTTTTCTGCCACAGCACTAGCAGTTCCATAAGCTGTTACTGGAAAATACACATATCTCAAAATAGAGAGACCTGGGGTTGCTTCTCCCCACACACATGCCCTATTAATGGCCTTACCTCAAAGTCACACTCTTCCCCCACAGCAAACTTGGTCATGATCTCTAGCCAGGAAGAGTCCACCAGTTTTTCTAAGGAGATTGTGTTATGATGCACCATTTCCAGGACAAGTTTCTCATACCAGACTGGGAATTCCTCTTTCAGTCTAAAAAGATCAAGAAAAGAGTGGCTCATCCCGTTTAAATGGCAACTATCATGGAAATGGCAATGACAAACCTATTGGATCAGCATCCAAAATGGAAGCCATGTGCTAAACACAAAATCCAAACCAAAAATCAAACACAAAATCCTCTTGCTGGCTTGTCAGCTGAAAATGGCAGCATCAAGAACTGTCTGTCTAACTAGAAAAAAGGAAAACTGCTTGGTGCACCTGCTGAAAGTTTTTTAGTCTTATAGAGGGGAAGGGACCTTTTTTATAGTGTACTGATCAAGGGAATCAGGCAAGCCTGTACACCCCTTGTCCCAAACTGTTACACCATTACAAAACATGTGCTGTGAAATTCGCAGACATCCTATCAGAAGCACAAGGCAGAGTTTCTTCCAAGCAGCAGTGGGGGGAGGTAAATCTTGACAGCATCTCTCAGACAACAGTTGGGAAGCCACAATTCCCTGTATAAAGAAGATGGTTCCAGCTGGGCCTCCACCTTATTATGCTGGTTTTCTATGCGAGGAAGCATCTTCTCACAATAGACCTGCCTGCAGTCTGGCATACATCGATGCACCAGTTCATCTGCTGTGAGACAGAATTAGACAGGAAGATGCCGGGTCCCTTGGCAGCCTGGTATGCATGCAAGATGTCTATCTTAAATACACAATGGCTACCCACAAAATAATCGTGCTGGTAACCGGGGCTGTTCTCACCATGGTTTTGTGCCATACATTTGCATCTCCTGTGCTATGAATTTTATTGGATAGGTAATCAGCACAAGTGTTTAAGGAACAAGGCCAATAAGAAGCACGGTGGACAAGAACACACTAAACTAGGTGTATTCTTAGTTCTATGTTTATAATCAATCGTGTTTACATGACATACAGCTCAACATGAAGCCTTCTGTCAATTCCTAGCAAAGGCAATGGAAGAGAAATGCACACCTTTAGGTAGCCTTGTTCAAGGCTGTTGAAGGGTCTTCTTTTCTTTTGCACACTTACTCAAATGTGACTTTTTCTAGGATCCTAATGGCAATGCAAACTCCTTGCCAAACATGCTGCCAAGCTGCACAAAAGATTTCTGCCCTGGCCACTAAAAAGAATTGCTTTAGATTCCACTACTTACAGCTCAGCAACTTCCTGCTCCTCCTCCCAGGCTTCTTTGTGTGTCAGCTGACTGCTGCCAGTACTCTTGCAGGTCCATATTCGTTGATTGTATTTCTCTAGCCGTGCTTCGTACTCTCTGAAGGAGCATCAGCTCAGGAAAACATGTGTAGTCTTAAGCTAGTAAATCAGGTCAGTTTACTTCTATACCGAGAATATGTTTGCAAAAGCAAGCCAAAAATACTGGATTAAATATAAAGTAAACAAGCTGCATGCAGCTTGTTCTGTCGCTTTGCCTTGTTCTACACAAGAGAGAGTAAGTTAGGGAAGGAAGAACACTGGTTGTCTAAAGCTCACTCATACTGGATTCTGTTTTATCACTGGTTTGTCACTTTCATATGAACAAATCTAGGATTACTTGCAATTGTTCCTACTGTGTTTTTTTATTTGTTATAATACTGTCAATGTGTCAAATTGGGCACTGTATAGAATGCATGACGTTTTTAGGCAATGCATGAAATGTCTGTGTTATTTTAATATGATCTATACTTTCCCTAGGCATTGTATGCAATACCCAGGCATTATACAGAATGACAAGTACTATTCACGCAAAGGATGAAAAGAGTCATGGAAAGACTGATTGAAAAATCGTATATGAAAATGAAAGAAGAAATACAAAATAAAGTACAGGACTTTCTTACTGAAAAAACAAGAGAAACAGACCAGTGTTGACCTACCTGCAATAAGGAATGCTATAATGGCTTTTAGAATTGCACTTAATTGTCTTCTTCACACAAGAGCACTTCATATTTTGGCGCTTCTTCTTGCACATACACCTCACGAAACCTTGGCCGCTTCCTGTGGACTGAGCGATAGCTGCTGATCAAAGAGGAATTTCATGGCCAGGAGCATCTTCAACTCTGAATAAATCCTTCGGACATAAAGTGAATTGTGATCTGACATAAATTTGGTTCAAAATTCCCTGAGCAGTTCCAAGTTGGTAAAAATGGTCTTCCGTCACACTCAAAACAACTCACCCTGTCCCTTGGCAACATCAGGAATAGGAACCCACACAGTGGCTCCCAAAGATGCAGGAGGAAATTTCCTTTCAGAATCTATTTTCATTTTCTTGGTCTGTTATTTCCAGATTCAACGTAGATCCAACTTCACCTTTGACAGCATTATCAATATTGAAGTGAAGAGTGCACAAAACATTACCCTCATAACCTTCCATTTTCTCTTCTCTATCATCTTTACTGGCATGCCCACCAATGGCATGAACCTTTTGGCAACAGTTTCTGCGTGTATGGGCACCACTGGTTTCCTTTAGACAGACAAGACAGATAGAAATGGAAGCTGCGTCTTCACCACCACTTTGGTTTCTTCCTTTGTGGACTACACTCTTATCCGGATTTTGTGCTCCTGCATCAGGGGATCTATTTCTTCTTGTTGCATTGTTTGAACGCCTTCTATTATTTTTTCCAGTTGTTCCTCAGTCTATATGTCTTGTAAAACATCTTGGGGTAGGGAAGATGTTGTTAGACCGACTTTAGCTTTGCAGCCAAAGAGAGTGTCTCTTAATTCCAGAATGAAAGGCCCTGTTCTTCATAAGTTGGACAAAATGTAGTCCCTCTCTCCACCGGTCAGTTTTTTCATCTTGCATCCAAATACACAGCATACTTTCAATTTCCTGATTAACTCTTTGACACTAGTTTGGCTTTTTGAGTGGCGAGGCTTGCCACGGATGATCTTCAGAGTTGGCCAGTATTCCTTTAGACTACTCAGCACATTAGCAAATTCTCTGCCATTGTCAGACTGTAGAATCGATGGTGCTCCATGCGATGTAAACATGTCCACAAGGTTGTATGCTGCTACTTTCTTTGATGTCAGGGCCTCGAGAACCACAGACTTAGATGATCGTGGCACACCATTGTCAACTTGCTTTCCCTGTCAGGGTGGGCCTGAACATCGTTAAGACTGAACTGACAATGGGAACCGGAATCAGGAAAAGCCATCGGCTTCACCACAAGACCTTTTTACATACCTTTTTGTTTTTTCTGGCATGGCTCACAAAGGTGAATGTACAGTTCAGTATCATGACAAGTAATGTTCTTGTACTTGGGCGAAAGTTCTTTCAACATTCCGCCACATCCATCATGACCAATGGCCAAATGAGCCACATGAAGTATGTTAAATAACTCAGAGTCCATGCTGTAAAAGTGGATAGCACTGACATCTTCTCTAACAGGATGAATAAACTTACTTTTATTTTCTACCATCATCACATCATTGTGATTCAGTAGCCAATAGCCTCATGGTTCCTTCTAAGTAGTTGTCTTAGGCTTTTCCACATGCTTCACTAACTTTTGGTAAATGGTTTTGGTTAGAAAAACAGGTTTTAGTAGCATTGGATCACACTTCAGATAGTTCTTTGTAGAATCCTCGCTGTTTATCAGCATGGCATGATTCTTGCCCAGATACATCTTGCTCTGCCATTCTTATACAGCATGGGTCCTCAAACTACGGCCCACGGGCCGGATCCAGCCCGCCATGCCCATTTATCCGGCCCGCCTCAGGTTTTGGACTCCCTGCACCCACCGCCACCCATGCCTGCGCACTCACCGCCACCTCACTGCACGGGCAGGGTGGCGGTAGCTTGCTCGCTCGGAGATGGTGTTGGACTCGTTGGGAGATCTCTGAGCGAGGCAGCCACAGCTGTGCATGCCAGATGCCACCTCACTGGCCTGCATCCCTGGGCACCCCTGCCTCACCAGCCCACACTGGTCGCCACTGCCTTTCAACTGGCCCCGTTGAAAGAGTTTGAGGACTCCTGTTATACCGCATAATATTGGCTAGCGTCTGCTGAGCAAATTGAAACTCGTGTGTTTCATCACTGCTGAACAAAGACAGAAGTACAAATGGCAGGAATAGTTAATACTCTCCGGATGAGGCAAGCATCAGAGGTCACATGCCTTGCCACATGACAATAAAAACTTCACTGATGGTAGTATTTTACAGTTTGCCATTTTGCAGTTTGGCATTTTATAAGCACCCAGGAAATGTGAGAAAAATTAGGTGTTTCATACTGTGACATCCCGTTTTTGGCATTCTATACAGTGCCCAATTTCACACATTGACAATAACATATACACAACAAATACCCTACACAAAATGAATGCATGGTCCAAGTTTGCACTGTCCAAAATGAATGCATTGTCCAAGCACTGCCAACTTGTGATTCCGATGCTGGGCCCCTGCTTTGGCTCCAATTCTCTCCTTTCCCTTCCTAGTCTGAACCAATCGCAATTTGCCGCAACATCCAAATTGGGCAAACTAAGACCACTGTCAACCACACTTCACCTCCAAAGCAGTACTGGAAGTCATGTTTAAGTGTTCCCAATTTTCATTCGGAGACAAACTGTGTAGCCATAGCTTGTCCAATCCAGCTACAACTATGATCACCCACAACCAAGATGTGAATGGAGAGAATGAGCACACAGAAACAGAGTGAGTCAGAAGGGGCCTCTCCAGCCATCTAGTCTGAACCCCAGCTCTAGTTGGCTCTGCTCATGACATGCCTACCATTGTACATGAGAGGAAGGAAGGGGAAAAATGAGCACAACTGTCTATACTTCTATACAACTGTCTATATATACAACTGCAGTGTCTGAACCAGGTCTAACTGAACATGCCTATGTACACAGACAAATCCAGGACATGCATATGTACACGGACAAAGCACACAAACGGAATAGAAACACCAGTTCTAAGAATCATAGAATAGCAGAATTGGAAAGGGGCAAGGAGACCATCGGATCCAACCAACCGTTCAGTGCAGGGCTCCAAATTGTCAAGGTATGACAACTGCTGAACTGAGAAGAGAAAAAAGCTTCCTGCTTGTGCTGGATGCTAATCAACTTGAAATTTTATTGCATCCCATTTAACTAGTTACTATCAAGGAATGTACATTTTTCTGCTTAGCAGACAAACAGGATTCATCCCAACCCAATCTGAAGGTCTTCAGTTAACTTTCTTAAACAAAACTGCCTACTGTAAGTTGCTGGAGCAAGCAGCAGTGCAAAGCCCAACATATGACTGTTGCTTAATTTGTTTTCAGTCTTATGAAACTCCTGCTTTCTGTGGGGGCCCTATTTAGTCACACTCATTCAAGAGATAGGTTAAGTTAACCTCAGTTCTGTGACCTCTTAAAAAACACATCTACTACAGCAGGAATGTTCAAGGACAACTGATCTGATAAATATCAGATGTATAAGGTTCTTATAAAGTAGCAAAAATAGAGCTTGCACGGAGGCAGCAAGAAGACAACACAAACAGTGAGCGCTTATAATTCTATACCACAGAAAGTCAGCCTATGAGAAATACTGCAAATAAAACATAGCCATGGGGCGAAAGCAAGAGTGGAAAGGCCAACATGGCAAAGACAACTCTAATTAGTACCACACACTAAAGATTTGCACAAACATGCCACACTGCAGGAGCAGAAGATAATCACCCCGGATTTCTAGAGCAGCACCCCCCCACAAATCTCCATTCTAGACTTCAGCCATTGCTCACAAGGAATTCCTCCTAACACTTAAATGACTTTGTTCTCAAGTGAGGAAGGCACTAACTACCATCTAGTCCTGGTCTGAACCGGAAATGGTCAAGGATGGGTTACTGAAGAAAACCAGGATTGGGCCTCCAGTCTGTAGATAAAAGCCACAAGTTACTTCCACAAGGGTGCAAAATTGCTGTGCAAGCTGTAGGGTCATGACAAGCCCTCAACTACCATCCAGCGTTATTTGTTTTAAGGCAGATCAGGTTAAGGAATCCAGGCACCAATGCCAAAGGATCCCTTTGGAGGATCTGAGACTAGCCTCTGGGAGATTTGTTCCAGCTCTATATTACCTTAGTTAGTTGCTTTTATTATATTTCAGTTGATGCCTTAAGCTGCCTGGAGCAAAAGTAGAAAAGTACTTTTGTAAGTGCACAGCAATCGCCAATTTCCATTAGTAGCCCTGCCTAATGTAATCCCATTTCAAGCCTGAGAAAGGCTCCCTCAGTCTTACCTCACAGCAAAACCCTCCAGTTCCAAACAACTGCAGCAGAGATGCCTGGCAGGCACAAGCAATCTGTTTCCAGAGCCAGAACCACCTTCGGAAGTATATTTCCATCTGGTTGGCCACTGGCAGCCATCATTCATCATTTCTGGAACATGCAATGGCTTACGGTCAGCCAGCAAAGCTGATTAATACAGGAACATGGCGGCAATGAAGAGGAACAGCCAGAGCCCAGGACAGCCCTAACATTTCCTCAGGCATTGTCATGCACACGCCTTGGAAACCTTAATGACTAGGTATTTGTCATTTCAGCAAAAGACAGCTTCAAGGATGCTGAATCTGATAGCCAGTGCCAATCTATGCTTTTCCTGCACTTGTGCAGAATACTAAGGTATATACAGGCCTGACCACATGCATCAGCCTTCCCCACCTTTGTGATGTCCAGATGAGAACTGCAAACACATCTGGAGAGTGTCATATTGCAAAAGGCCAGCAGATATCCTTAACGGATTAAGTATGCAACGCAAAGAAAATTAATTCAATGAACAAAAGAGACTTTGGTCTTCATATTCTAGCCTTCCACAAGCTCTGTCCATTGCAACACAAAAAGTGGAAACAGCTATCTATGGCAAACCTCCCCTACCTTATGCCTTCCCAATGCTTTGTAGTTTGACTCCCATAAAGCCTAGCCAGAATGGTTAATGGCTGGGAATCCTGGGAACTGTAGTTGAGAACATCCGCAAGACAACAGGTCGGGAAGGCTAATCTGTTCCCAATACCACAGGCTTGCCTTCTTCCAACCAACAACCAGAGAACCACTTAAAATTCCTGCTGCTAATAATGTCCCTTATGCCACTTCCATAAGCTCAGTTTGTAGTTATTAAGCACATGCATGACCCATCCCAAAGATCTTTCTGAAGAAAAAGAATCTGCATCAAAATATGTAAGGTCATGAAAGCTGCTTAAGTTGAACACACACTAGAGAAATGCTCCCCACAAACCAACGACAGACCCACCCATTTGCTGAATAACACACATTTCTCACTCATGCGCATCACTGGACATCTGAACTTCCCTGACACAAACACCACAGGGGAGGCTATTTGTCTTCCACAGCAGAAGTGCCTATACTTCTGTGTCACAAGCACTTGACTTCAGTCTGCTACCTAGCACAGTAAACATTCTAGTGACACTAAAAAGGCAAAGGCTGCTGACTGTCAAAATATTCCACTGGAACTAAACTGGAGTGAACAGATTATGCCAGCTGCAATGCTGGACTCAAAGGAGCTGCTCCAGAGGAAGTGGGCTGTTGACCCCTAGGGCTTAAAAGATTTAAACAAGCCACAAGAATGATGCAGACAGCTCCCCTCTGCAAATTTACTGTGAACAACCCTGCTCTTTATCCAGGCAGTTCTATGCAGATGATCATAAGCCTAAGAACAAGGCAACTTTTAGCCATATCTAAAAACCAGTACATTCTGCTCTTGAATTCTACTGTGCATTTTCCACCTCATAAGCCTCTACCTATAGTTTATCCACCAAGGTATTCCAAAAAGTACCCCTCTCCGAATATCTAGCAACTGGAAGACAGACAGAGCTGTTCAGACAGAAAAACAGCAAGACAAAGCAGCAAAGAGTGAAAAGGAAACACAAAGCTTTCCCTTGTGCATATGCAAAGTTCAAATGCATGTACCTACACAGAGAAGCTGTTTCTAAGATGCCCACACACTTCATGCAAACCATTCTCAGACCTTGACAGAGGGCAGTGCAAGACGTTAAAACCAAAATACTTCATTGACTGAAAGAAGTTGCTTAACAAAACATGCAAGAAATCTGGATGTGGAAAATTCAAGTTCAACACTTTGGCCATGAAGTTTGCTGATTAACCTTGGACAAAACCCCAAAATACAATCAGCGTCAAAAGAATGCAGCCTTGAGTACAGAAAACCTAGAGTAATAAAGAGTACTATGGCGATCATTTCTGTCTTATTCTAAGACAGATGCTACAGAGTGATTTTGAGTGTAAACCCGCTTTGAATCATTGTTCAGGCATCAGGAGTCCTTTATGAAGACTAGAAAGATGACTGCATGTATAACACCTATTCAAGCAAATAACACCATCTGGCAAAACAGCCTTCCTCAATGCATTACCTCTGGATGTACTGGACTACAACATACATCACCCCCAGCCAGCATGCCCAAGTGGCTGGGCGAGGAAGGCCAAGGCAAAACATCAACACTAGGTGACAATGGCAACAGAACACCCTAACTAGCCGAGTCTCCTCTAGCAGCAAAATAAGGAAAGGATGCACTAACAAAGCACGGGACAGCACACGACAGACAATGATACTTGGCAGGCTACCTTCTGCCATCACCTCAGCGTCATTTAAAATGCCAACCAAACCGAGGATCAAGCAAACAGAGGCATCAAGTGCACACTGACACTAGACCCAACACCTAACACCTCCCAGCATCGTAGCTCCTTTGATAAATTTATCAAAGAATAAACGTAAATGCAGCAGTTTCCATTCCCCCTTGAAAAGACTTCTAAGCTAGTGGCACTGCCAACAACTCTTGTGGAGGCAAGTCAATGCATCCATGAAATTTACCACCACCAAAGCTGGCAAGGGCAGTTACCAGGCAGGACAAATAATTCTTCTGCAATTTTCTGTCAGTTGCCCCCACTGTGCAATCCTGAATTCCAGTTTGGGGCAGCAGAAGCAAGTGGGGGAGGGGAGTTCTGTGGGATCTTCACAAACAGGCATGTTAGCAATATCTTCCGAGAAGAACATAGACGGGCCTCGTCCTGACTGGACCAGGGTGGGTCCATCTGCAACACTGGCCTTCCTGAGATAGCCATGCCAGCTGGGAACAACAGTGGTTGCAGTCCAACACACCTGGAGTGGTGCCTCCCTGCCCTGAGCGTGCAGGATGCTGGAGGTGGTCTGCTTCTGCAGAAGAAACCCTTGCTAAAAACAACAACAACAACAACATAACAATCACCTGCTCACTGGATCCGTATCTAAGGATCACTGCTTGTCTCCAGCAGTGACTGGCTGTGTTCTATGAGTTAGCGATGCAAACAGACACTGGCAGTCTTGTCTTTCAGGGACACAGAACCGCCTCCTTCCTAAGCACATCCGGTTGAAAACCCTTCTCTGGAGCCCCTCATCCCTGAATGTGATTTGACATTCAGAGATTAACTGACCCCAAATAATAGGGACTCCATTCTAACTAGAGAGCCAGTATTACTTTCGCACTTGGCATTGAAATACATTTTGGAGGATCCCGATTCATTTCTGATCCTAGGTCATTTCTTTCAACCTACTTCACCAGATCGTTGCTAAGATAAACTGTCTAGGAGATCCACGCTCCTTGTAAGAGAATAGAAAGATGATTATAAATGTAACAGCAAATCTTCTAAAAAGCTGAAGCATCATCAAGATTAATGCAAAAATAAATAAAGGTCAGAGGAACAGATGAAACCAGCTGCCTGGACTATGGCTCCCACATTGCCCTTGGCCACTCCAGAGCCCACAGACCAGAATTCCTGAAAGAAACTGAGTAGATCACCCTGGGTTCAGCAACTCCGGATCCCAATACCCTCTTGGGGTGCTCAGCAGCCTCCCCTGCACTGCCTCATCCTACGTGGCCCAGAAGAGCCCTAGGGCAGCTGCCCCGCACCTCGTGTCTTCCGAATGGGCGTGGGATGATGGAAGCGGCAGTCCAACCCGAGGGGAAGAAACCGGGCAGGGAAGATTGCTAGTCCATTCTGACTGGTGTGGATGGAGCGGAAATCCAGGGCCTTCGGACGGCGTCAGCCGGGGATGCCGGCGGCTGTACTCCACCGGGCTGAGGGACCGCGTGCTGCGAGAAGGAAAAGGACGCCCGGAGAGGAAACTGAGAACAAAGAGCCGGGAGGCGGCCGAAGCAACGCAGGGCCCCGCCCGGCCCCCCCTCGGCTGCCCCAGGCCACCCGCCCCCGCGCGGCCCGAGGCAAACATGGCGGCTGGCCCGCGCGGATACTCGCTGCTGCGGAAGGCCTCCTGCGTGTGAGCGATGACGAAGCGCGCCGGCGGCTCCGGCTCCTGGTCCGCCGCCGGCGACCGCGGCGACTCCCCTTCGGCCGGCGCTGGCAGCGGAAAGGGCTTGGCCAGCGGAAAGGGCTTGCGGCCCAGCAGCGGTGCCATCGCCCGGCACCGAGGAGAGGCCGACGACACCGACCGACGACGACCAGTGGCGCTTGGCGGAGCACCGGCGGGAAAATGGCGGGAGCGCCCCCGCCGCCCCTCAGAGACGCGCGCGCAGCAGGGCGAAGCCGGCAGCCCGCCGCCGCCGCCGCCGCCGCTCCCTCCTCCGCCGCCGCCGAAGCCGCCGCCGCCGCCTCACGGGAACTGCGCGCGCGCCGCCAAAAAGAACAACACGATGAGGGGGAACCGTGCCCTCCCCTCCCCGCAAGCACCGCCCGCTTTCTCGGCCTCTCGCGCCGCGATTGGCCCGAGTCGGAACGCCCTGCCGCACGACTCGCTAGCGAGCACGTCACTCATTAGTGAAGCAGGACGGAGGAACAAGTTCGGTTGCGCCGCGCGCGCCAGCCAGATAAAGAGATGGGGGAGGGCGAGCGGGAAGTAAGGTCGCGTTATGTAAGCGCAAGAAAGGAGCGCGGCGGAGGCGCTCTGTCCGCCATCTTGTGCGTCGCCGTTATTAGGTCCCGCCCCCTCGCCACCAATGAGGAACCAGCGTTTCATCCGGGGATCGGATGGAGGGGCGGGAACAAAGAGGGCGAGTGGGGGGAAAATGGCCCGTTCTCCCGGCTTTTGCTTGGCGAGTGACGTACGATCCCGCCTTAAAGGAGGAGCGCCCCTCACGGCCCACCGGGATGACTCCCCAGGAGGCACGGGGAACATCTTCCGAGGTTCGTTGGCACACGTGTCCTCTTCCACGCGTGAGATATGTAACCCATGTTAGGCCATGCTGGCTGGGAGTGATGGGAGTTGTAGTCCATACTCGTGGGGCGCCGGGTTGGACAAGTTGCCGCGCTCGCTGGCAGCGGACTCTGCACGAAGACAAGATCGCGCGGAGGCCCCGTCGCCACTGGCACTGGAACTGCGGGGGGCGGACGAAGGATGCGGTGCCTGTTGACCGAGCAGCAGCCGGCGTGAGCTTGAGTGGACTCCGGGGATGGCGGAGGACGGGAAGGCCTGGAGGAGTGTTGTCCCCGTGGTCGCGATGGGTCGGACACGACTTCGCGACTGGCAACAGCAACAATCATCAGATGCCTTTTCAGCCTCCTCTAAGGAGACTGCTAATGGCTGACAATGCATCTGATGGAAGTGGATAAGAACAGGAAAGCTGATGGCAAAATAACTCGTTTATCTTTAAAGTGCTGTGAGACTGTGTTGTTCTTGCAGGCAAAATATACATGCTATGGGAGAAGGTTAGTAAGGGATGGTGAGGAGGCTGCCATAATGTCTAGGAGCTCATAAACTCCTCTCTGGCACAGGGTGCTGAAATAGCTGATCTACACACGCAGTGGCATGCTATTGGCTTTATTTTGCAGGACAGCTGAAATCCAGATGAATTCAGAATCTGAGGAGAAAACAAATCAACCAAAACCATCAATGGGAATTTTCTCTTTAAAAAACATATTAGTTTATTGAATTTCCCCTGGACATAATATAAACACAAGATGTTCACTAGTTGAAACCACGTGCCCAATAATTTTATTCCAACATGCAAACAAAAACATTTCCCCTTTTCAGAAAAATTTCCATCATAATCTAGCACCAATTTCTTGAGGAGTTTCAACAAGGAGAAAACTCCAACTCCACTCGTGACATGCCTACCATGTGCATGCCCAGTCTGTCCTGAAACAGCCTCACTGATGGGATTTCAACCACCTCCCGGGGAAGCCCGTTCCATACCCTGGGGGTCCTAACTATCAGGAAGTACTTCCTGGCATCCGCCCTAAATCTTGGTTCCCCAAGCTTTGTTCCCTAGCCCTCTGAGTCTCCTCCACTCAAGGCTGAAAAGACCAAGCTCCCTCGGTCCCTCCTCATACACAAACCAGCCACCATCCTAGTGGCCTTTGCTGCACTGATTCCAACCTTGCCATATCCCTCTTGTAATCAGGGGTCCAGAATGGAACACAGTACTCCAGCTGCAGGTGCACCAGAGTCGTAAAGAGTGGCAGTAATACCTCTCTCGATACCTCTCTCGACACTTCTGGCTATGCAACCAAGGGTGGCATTCGCCCTCTTGGCCACTGCATCACACTGCTGGCTCATGTTCAGCCTGCAGTCAACCAGCACCCCGAGGTCCCTTTCGCAAGTGCTGCTCTCCAGCCACTTGTCCCCTGACCTGTACTTACGACACCCATTCCTATGCCCCAAGTGCAAGACCTTGCACTTATCCACGTTGAACGCCATCCTGTTGTCTCGTGCCCACTTCCGTAGTCTGTCCAGATCCTTCTGGATCTGAAGTACCTGCTTTTCAGTTGTGGCCACTGCCCCCAATGTAGTATCATCTGTGAATTTTATCAGTAGATTGGTCACCCCTTCTTCCAGGTCATTGATGAAAGACTGAACAGGATCGGTCCCAGGACTGAGCCCTGGGGGACCCCGCTCGTCACCATCCGCCATCCCGATGATTCCCCACTAATAGTAACACTCCGCTTTTGGCCCATCAGCTATGCCCTAATTCATCAGACAGTGCATTGTTCTATCCCCAAACTCCTCAATTTCTCAACCAGGCTATCATGGGGCACTTTGTCAAAGGCCTTGCTGAAATCCAGGTACACCACATCCACCGCATCCCCTCTGTCTTAACCACCTCAAAAACTTGTCATAGAATTTCACAAGGTTTGTCTGGCAGGACCTGTTTTTGTGGAAGCTGTGTTGCGTGGCCACCAACCTCCCTTCCCTATCTAGGGACTCCAGAGCATTTCCTATTACGAGCCTTTCCATTGTCTTTTCCACAATGGACATAAGGCTAACGGGCCCATGGCCCCCCTGCTACCCTTTTTGAAGAGTGGGACCACTGATGCCACCCTCCAATCCTCTGGAACGTCACCCATACTCCATGAGGCCTCAAAAATGGAGGCCAGCGGATGTGAGAGGACCCCCGCCAACTCCTTAAGTACCCTCAGGTGTAACCCATCAGGGCCTGGCACCTTTGTAACATCTAGTGCCCTGAGGAGCTCCTCGACTTCTATGGGGATGACTCTAATGTGTGCCCCTAAGTCCCTGACCTCATCTGATTCCCCCTTGCGGATCTCCCCCATGCTGCTTTGGGGAGAACACAAAGGCAAAATAGTCATTTAGCATCTGTGCCTGTTCCGTCACATCAGTCACCGAATCCCCTTCCTCCTCATTAAGCAGTCCCACTGCCTCTCTCCCCTTCCCCTTGCTATTTACATGTTGATAGAAGGCCTTTTTGTTGCTCTTGATATGCTTGGCAAGTCTCAGCTCATAATTAGCCTTAGCCTTGCGAAGAATCTTTCTGCAACGGGCCTCCTCTGGGTGTACCCTTTTGTCTGCTTGCCCCAGTGCCCATTCCTGCAGAGGTTCCTCTTATGCCTAATGCCCCTTGCCACTTCTCATGGGCTGGACTGATGTGTACTCACTCACTCACTCACTTCAGACAAAGGAGAGCAGGCCCACCGGGATCACGTCTGGGGAGATCAGGCCTCGCTCGTACATGTACCACCCCGCCACGGAAGCCAGTCCAGCGACGCACGCCATTCCTGCAAGGCCCTTGAGGAGAGCCAGGGCCCGGGAAGGACCTGCAACGGTTAGGGAGCCCTTAGAGGCCTCATCTGGCAAACCTGCACAGGAATGCTCCAGTTAACAGGGTGGAGGTTTGGATTCCCCCGACGCACACTCCTTAACAGGTGCGGGCACCCGTCCAGGGCTGCGGTGGATGCCAGGCGGCAGGAGGGCTCCCGGGAGATGCCAGGCGTTTGATCCCGCCTAAGGCACACTGTGGGTCAGCCCGAGCCGTGCGGAGTGTGCTCAGGGCTGTTTGTGGCTCTGTGCTTTGAAAAGGGGAGAAGCTCCATCGTTGCTGTCGTTAGCACTGATGCCATTGGCATGCCTCCGAATAGCTCTCTGAGTAGTTCATGGCCATTCACACACCACAGGGTACACTTGTTAAAAATAGCATAAAAGAACATATTTTTTTCCAGTATTAAAAGCACGATTTAATAGCTAAAGCAATCTCAGTGTAAGCGTGACTTGTCAGAAACGGCTGCCACAAGTGCACCACTGCGCCACTACGTGCTCTTGGGCACCCTTCCGTGCCTCGGAGAAGGGGGCAGCCAGGCCCTGGAGCTGAGTGATGCCAGCGCGGAAAGGATTCCACCAGTGACCTCCCCACTGAATCAAACCACTTTGCCAGTCATGCACATGCAGGCAATCTGCAGATCTTTCCATGGCATTAGACAATCATTCAGGTGTTTTCCTTTTTTGTCCTGGGGAGGAACAAGCTTCTTGCCAGCTTAGAAGCCCTCCAGAGCCTGTTCTGGATTTGGAAAGAAAGGGTATAAGCCCGATGGCTGTTTAGGCAGAAGAAGATTCCACAATGCCCAGCATTCCCCAGCCGGCTGGCTGAGCGATGCTGCCTGAACACATGCTGCGCCCTTCGCCATGCCCTGCCTTGCGTGCCATGGCTTCCTCCTCGTGCAGTCACGGGGAGTAGAGGCTTTCCTGAGCTGTTGACACAGGCACAGCTTGGGGTATAACTGGAGCCCAGGAGAGCGGAGGGCCAGGTAGAGCTTCCCCTTGGCACGCCGAGGAGCAGTGCGGAGGGACACTGTAGGCGCTCTTGCTTCAGAGATGGGAACGCACCAGGCACCTCTGGCTCAGAGGGCTAGCGCCAGTGCAGACAAACCAGAAAAGGTTCAGAGGAGGGCAGCAGAGCTGGTCCGGGAACTGGACACACAGCCCTCCGAGGAGAGATTGCGCTGGGCATATTTGGCCTTGAGAAGGCTGAAGTGAGATGGGGTAGTGCTTTTCCTGTACCTGAACGGCGGTCACACTTGAACCCGACCTCCCCAACCTGGGCCTTCCAGGTATTTCCTCCCGCCTCCCGCTAGGAGGGCCGCAGCTGATGGGGGTGGCAGCCATCAGGAGGGCTCCAGGCTGGGGAGGGAATAAGCTCTCAAAAAGCAGGTTCAGCCCATGGCACCAAGTGGGTATGGTTTGGGTCTGCTTCGGGGGGCACCAGGTTGAAGGCTGGGGTGTGGAACCACAAATGCAGGCTGCCGGGCTCTTCACGGCTCCATTGCAGTGAGGAAGAGGAAGAGAGGATGCAAAGTTAGTGCCCTGGAGAGGCACCTTTAGAAGACATGGAAACCGAACCCACGTCCAACTGGAAGAGGAGGGGGATATGCTGCAGAGAGGTTATGGATGCTGGAGCAGGAGATGGGCGAAGAGCTGTCGCACAGAGGCAGCCAGCTGGCCGGCCAGAACCTGATCTGCTGAGGGCTGTCTGAGGGATCCCTCCAAACCCCGGAGGAACAAGCTCCTGAAGAGGAAGAAGGGGTGAGAATCAAGGACCCTAGGTCAGCCCTCTGACACAAAGGAGGTGCAACGCGGTTCAGACCCAGCGTTCAAAGGGGCTGGTAGCCGGGGAGCCCAACCAGTGGAGAGACCTGCCTCCAGGGCAGGGCATGGTAGCTCACTTGGCCTGGGCCAGGAGGGGCCAGGCCACCCCCCAAAGGCTCCCTCTCAAGTCTCGTGCACGATGCAGCCGGGGAAGGAGCTGCTCTTGTGCTAAGCAGTTTGCTGAAACCGTTCGTGTCTGTCAGCTGCAAGGACTGGCACTGCAGGAACAGCAGCCGCTTGCCAATCGGTGAGCTGCTCTTTTGCACAGGAGAAGCGGATTGACGGGAACGGCCCGTTCCTGGGTGGGCTTCAGGAGCAGGCAGAGGTGCCTGCCAAGAGGCGGGATGGGGGTGTTGCCCGGAAGGGACCGTGGGGTGAGAGGCCTGCGGAGCAGCGGGGGGAAGCGTGCAGAGTCGCACGGAGGGGCGGGCAGCAGTCTCCTTCAGGGGCCCCATTCCGCCCAGTCGCACAGCTCACACCTCTGCTGGTCAGGGCGCCCGAGGCACGACAAGCTGCTTTCATGATGGCCAGGTTTCCCCGCGGGTGGCCCGGGATGTAGACCTCCGCTTCCACCTGCACTTCTTCCAGCTCCACCGGCCCCTCCTTGCCCTGGTGCCCGCTCCCGGCAGCCAGCTCGCTCTGCTTGGGTGCCTTGGGGAAGACATTCCGGAGCAGACGGAGCAGCTGGGCCCGGGCAGCCTCGGCCTCCCCTTTCGTGGGCTCCATGATGATGCCCACCAGCGCGCAGGGGGCCTTCTGGACGAGCTGCTTCACCTCCTTCAGCACTTGGCACAGCTCCCGCTGCTTGCCCTTCACACTCGAGGCGCGGCACAGGAAGAAGATCAGCTGGCATGGCCTGCCCCCCACCGAACATGCGGCGCTGCAGGGCGCCTTGAGGGCCTCCCCAGGCTGGACCGGGTGGCAGGTGGCGGAGAACAGGTCCTTGACGAAGGAGGCCATCATGCCATGGATGTCCTTCCCCTCCAAGGTCTCCCCAACCAGGAGGACCTCGGGCCTGCCCCCCACCTTCTGCACCAGCATCTGGAAGTCCTGCACGATCTTTTCCCCGGGGCCCGGGATGCATACCGCCCGGGGGGGCTCCTCCGGCCCCGGCCCGGGCCCGCCTCGCTCATGCCCTTCCTTCATGGAGTCCTGGCCCCTCTGCCCAGGGCGAGTCGCGAGGGGCCTCCAGGCTGCCCCGCCCATGTCACAATGCGCGCGCACGGAGCGGGGCCGCGCCGCCCGCCCGGGGGG